TCTTCACTTTCTGCCATAAGGGTGGTGTCATCTGCATATCTGAGGTTATTGATATTTCTCCCAGCAATCTTGATTCCAGCTTGTGCTTCTTCCAGCCCAGCATTTCTCATGATGTACTCTGCATATAAGTTAAATAGACAGGGTGACAATACACAGCCTTGATGTACTCCTTTTCCTATTTGGAACCAGTCGGTTGTTCCATGTCCAGTTATAACTGTTGCTTCCTGACCTGCATATAAGTTTCTCAAGACGCAGGTCAGGTGGTCTGGTATTTCCATCTCTTTCAGAATTTTCCACAGTTTATTGTGATCCACACGGTCAAAGGCTTTGGCTAAGTTAATACAATTTCTCTAGGGCAGGAATCTAAAACTCTTGAATTACAATATTCAAGACTGGAATTAGGAAGAAAAAAAGTAATTTTTAAGGCAGCTGCAAGTTTCTCACAGTCACAGCTCAGGAATGGAGACTCTGAATTTGAGAGGAGCCCTGAAGCTGAGCCCCAGAACAGAAGGTGTACTGTAAAAGCTGGAGGTGAGAGGGTTGGAGAAAAGGTAGATCCAGGAGTGGTGTAAGGAGGGCTTAAGCACAGGGAGTGAGTATTGGCTTACGGGGATGGGTGAGCTCGGCACATAATTCCCATTTTTACCAAAATGCTACCAATCGTACTGTAAATTGGTACCAGCTTTCTAGGGCACAACATGTAAGTTGCATATTAAGTCTTAAAAATGTCAATATCCTTTGACCCAATAATTCCATCTTAGTAACTTATAAGGAAAATTTTAAACTGCACAAATATTTGGCTATAAGGATATCCAGCATTTGTAATAGCCAAAACCCCCAAAATAACAACAAAAAAAAAAAACTATAAGCAATCTAACTGCACTTTAGTATGAGTTGCCTAAATCAACTGAGGACCATTTTGTAAGTATTACAAAGGATGTGCAAATAAAAACTTACATGTGCGTGCATGCGTGTGTGCTCAGTCGTGCACACTCTTTGGGCTCTCATGGACTGTAGCCCCACAGGCTCCTCTGTCCATGGGCTTTTTCAGGCAAGAATCTCCGCGTGGGTTGCCATTTCCTTCTCCAGAGGATCTTCCCAATCCAGGGACAGAACTCACCTGTCCTACACTAGCAGACAGATTCTTTACCCCTGAGCTACTTGGGAAGCCACTTACTGACATGGAAAGACATTTATGCTAAACTCTGTGAAAAAGATCAGCAGCAGAATTGTATAGCCAGTATGTGTGTCAATTTTGCTTTAAAAAGATACAGCAACATAAAAGCATTTACTTGCAAAGATAATCGGCTGAAGAATATTCTCCAAGGGATTAATATTCATCTTTGGACAGAGACTATGGGTGGGCTAATTAACTTTTTTTAAAAGGTTATTCTTAAGTAGTCCTACCTAGTCTTTGTCACAAGTGCCAGGTTCTTTCCCTTGCCAAAGGGGAAGAACCAACCTTTTCCTTAAAATTCCGACAGCTTCCCCAAACCTCCATTAGCCTTGTTCCATCTCGTCCTCTAGGCTGTGTTCAATCTTTTCCCCTATAAGCCTGGGGATCCTTCACTGGGGTCCTGTGTCGCTCTTGTCTGTCCCTGCCCCACCGCCTGGATGAGACCCCGCCGAACAGGGTAGGTTATTTATTGTAAAACTTCAATTAGATCTGGCCCGACTTCTCGGAGTCGGTGGGACTGCAGACCTCCCTCCTCACATTCCACGCCGTCCAGTCGCCCGCCGCCGCGCGGGAAACAGAAACCCTGCCAATACGCGGCGGCGAGCGCGTAATGATGTCATCCTGCACGTAACGCGGAGGCCGCGCAGCGAAATTTGTCCCTTTGGAGGCGCCGTCCCTGCTTACGGCCCGCTCACGTCATGTGACCGACCGAGAGGCACCTGACACCAGTGGCGAAGAAGGAGGCGACCCGCGACGAGATGGAGGCTACCTTAGAGCAGCATTTGGAGGACACGTGAGTAGTATCCTTGTCGGCCCTTCCTGGGGCTGGAGAAGATGAACAGGGCAGAGAGTGCGAGCTGCGAGCGCCGGCTGGGCGTCTAGGAGACGCTCTGTCCCGGGGCCTCCGGTGGGAGTGCGAGGTGACCCGGAATTAAATCGCCCCGGGGCTCCGCACATTCCCTCCCGAGCCGGTCTCCGCTGTCTGAGCCCCAACCCCTCTGTCGTGCTGACATTGTCTGGACAGGATCGTCCTTCGACAGTTTCAGGAACCCAGTTCTTTTGAAGGAAAGATGTACCACCTGTGCCGAACCTTGCCTTTATAAACGTAAACACACACGCTTATTTCCTTCCGGGTGTAACCAGTTATTTGTCGCCTAAGGAAATGAAAGGCATCCCTTAAATTTTTCGAATGAGTAAATATCTACGTAAAATCCAAAATTGGAAAAATATAAGACGGTGTACAGGGGAACACCTCCTTCCCATCAGTACTGTTCAGCTTCCCACTTCCTCTGCATGAGGCAACCCATTGTTACTTAAGAGTTTCTCAGCAGTTGTTTCGAGTGAGTAGGTATGCTAAAGTATGCATTTTTAACAAAGGCAACAAAATCCCAGCTATTGCAGCGTTCCTGGCCCTCCAGAGCTCAACAGTACCGTGCCAGTCTTTTCTCTCATGAGAGAGAAATTGGTTTAACTATTCAATTTAAAATAGTTGTAATTGAATTTTTCTTGGGGTAGGAGTGGATGATAAGTGAAAAAAGATTGAGTAACACGAATTTAATGTCTGGTACATAGAAAGCCTCTTTGTGTTATAATTAATGTCATTTTCCCACATCATCTTCTTCCTTTTTCCTGTGTTTCTGGAATTAGAATGAAGAATCCATCCATTGTTGGAGTCCTGTGCACAGATTCACAAGGACTCAATCTAGGTTGTAAGTATCTCACATCATCCCTTTGGTGGACTGCATAGCACTTGATGTTGACTGAGAGCCTAGTGTGCTATTGTTCTCTAGTTTTTATTTCCTGTTATCCTGACACTTTCTGGGGACTTTGATGAGAGTAGATATAATCTCCAAATAACACGATTAGAAAACTGAAACTTCTCAATTGACATTTATAAAAGTAGAAATGTTCCTTGCAGTTCTAGCACTGCACAGTTGTTTCTACTGAAGTCGTATTTGAGTCATTTTAAATTGGGTCTAGAAAGGACTTCAGAAAATGACAGTAGTTACCATTTATTGAACAGATGCCATATGTTGGGACTGTTAAGCTCTATATACATTATCTCTAATTTTCACAGTAACCCTGCTAAATGGGTGATGGTGTTATTTCTCAGTTCAACTTAACAGTAAGTGAGTAGGCAATAAAAATGTGGGATGCAGGGTTGGACACACGTAGGTTCAACCCCTCACTCTTCTGTTTACTAGTAGTGTGAATGGGACCAAAAAGAACATCTCAGATCCTCAGTTTCTTTAGTGAGTTGTTTTTTTAATAATAAATATTATGGAATTGCATTCATGAGCTCTTACTGTGTACCAGGTACTATTCTAAGTGCTTTACATATACTAAGTCATTTAATCCTCATGACAACCCTATGAGGTAAAGAAACTGAGGCACAGAGGTTGAGTAAACTTGCCTAAGGTCATACAGTTAGTAAATGATTGAGCTAGGATTTGAATCTGGCTCCAAAGTCTTTTAATCACAGTACTATAAGATTATATATATAAAACACTCAACACAGAGTTCAGACATAATGCTCAATAAATGGTAACAATTCCACATGAGAAAATAAATCCAGAAAGGTAAACAATGGAAGGCTTCAGCTAAGTCATGTCAGAACAAGTAAACCCAGGACACCTTGTTCCTTACTCCTCTGTACTATAGGGCTTTTTAAAGCTCAGAATTGTTGCTGGGAGAGTAATTGAAAGTAGTAGTCTGTGTCACCCAGTTAGATTTTGCACACAAACCAGTTGGTTGGAGGAAAAAGGGCAGATTTTTATGAGGTGCTTGCCACGCTCACAAATGGAAAGGCTGCAATTCAGGTGCAGAAATCTAAAACTAAACTTATTCCTTCAAGAAACCTTCAAGGCCCAAAAGACTGCACTGTGTGTCCAGCTAATGTTTGACATAACAATAAATCCATCATCCCTGCCATAGGGGCATATCTATGACCTGACTTAGTTTCAAGCAGAGGGGCTTGTGTTGCATTTATATACAGAAAGATATTGTAAACTTAGTAATTACTTTTTGGACCTGGCACCCAAGATTTAGTTATTATCTACAGGCTAAAACAAACATTAGTAAAAAGCCAATTCTGTTGCTCTTTGAAAACAGTCAGCTTATTCTAGTGGAAATAACTGCTCACAGTATATTTATATATGCTGTCAAGGTGATCTTACAGCTGAACTCCTGAGTAAAAATCTTTATATCCTTTGAGGTTGAGCTCAGTAAAAGGAAATCAGATTTCCCATGAGGAATTAATTAGTGTCAACAAGTCTCTGGCCCTGTTTTTGTCAGTCTCACCTCTGAATTTCTTCTTGGTTTCAGTTTGCTTTCAGATTGACTTGAATTATAGCTTCCTCATATGCTTGAGAAGGCGTTTAGAGACGGTGATGGGAATGACCTGGAAAACTGAGTAGTTACGACCTTACTGAGTTAAAAGCTGTTGGCTTTCTCGCTAATGTAACCAGCTGAATATCAGGGCAGAAAGATTTTGTCACCACATAACCTAAGAGACCATGAGAACCCTCTCTTTGTGAATAATTCAATTCAGTTATATGGTACCTCTGTACTCATTTTTGGACAGTCAGGCAACATGATATCATCTCTGTCTTCCAGGCCGTGGAACCCTGTCAGATGAGCATGCTGGGGTGATATCTGTTCTAGCCCAGCAAGCAGCTAAGCTAACCTCAGACCCCACTGATATTCCTGTGGTGTGTTTAGAATCAGATAATGGGTGAGTAGATGGCAACAGATCCCTTCCTTTCCTATTTATTGAGGAAAATCCCTCAGAAACTCGACCGGGGCTTGCCCTGTGTTCATCAGTGATTCCTCATTCCAAGTACTTAGAGGGAGGCTCCACCCTTTGGATAACAGGACCAGATGGGTTGGTCTCTGGAGCTAATGTGCTTTCAGACCACAATGACATTTAAATGAAGAGTAAGAGTTGTCATGAACTATCAATAAAAGAAAGCAGTAAATAATACAGAGGAAGCAATGATACAGAGGAAGACTCAACAACAGAAACAATGTCTGTAATAATAGAAGTACTAAAGACATTGCAAGTGAGGGTCCTCCAAATAATACTGAAAAAAGCAGAATACAAAATTATGCACATTATGATCACAGTTTTATATCAATAAAATGAGAGAAAATGTATATATAGTATACATGCAGATTAAAAAGAAAATATTAATAGTGGTTGTCTTTGAGGGATAGGATTATAAGATTAATTTCACATTTATATTTTATACTTTCCTGTATTTCCCAAATGTTTTATTGTGTTTAGATACTGCTTTCATATATAGAAAAATAAGTATTACTTTTTTAGTTGTATCCTAAATCAAACAGCATCTTTAATCTTACATTGCCACCCACTTGTAGCACTTTACTAAATATCTTCCGTGTTGCCTTTCAGGAACATTATGATCCAGAAGCACGACGGCATCACAGTGGCAGTGCACAAAATGGCCTCTTGACATCTCGTATCAGTTCTCCTGCACATCAGTTCTTCTGCAGCCTGTCACAGGGACTCAGTCATACATTATGTTAATTATCTCATAGAACTATTAAACCATTCATGTAATATGCATTGAGCACTTTTTGAGTAGGTTGTTTTTTGACACTCTGTGGATTTAGTTAGGAAAGGATCATGTTTTGAAGCAGCAGGTTTAGGTCACCTTGTATATAGAATTTTGTTAAGTTTAATAAACCTGGTTGGAGGAAAGCTTAGATCTTTTCTGAATTCTTTAAACTCTTAACAAATGTTCATTTTTTCAATTATCAAATGTAATTTTTCTTAAAAAAGGTAACTACTCCAAATTGTTCTCTTTCAGAAACTTCTGAAATAGATTCTCAAAGAAGCATCTATGGATATGTAAACCAAGTCAAGCTTACTCTTACCCCATAATAAAAACATAATAGCAGATATCATAAGTATTTACTATATGCCAGGAACACACTTAATTCTCATTAACAACCATATATGGGTTTTCCTAGCAAAAAGGTGGAAGCAACTCAAATGTCTTACTGATGGGTGAATGGATAAGGAAAACGTGGTATATACATACCATGGAATATTATTCAGCCTTTAAAAAGGAAGGAAATTTTGACACATGTTATAGCATGGAGGACTCTGGAGGACATTATGATAAGTGAAATAAGCCAGTCACAAAAAGACAAATACTGTATGATTCCATCTATATGGGGTGCTGCCAAGAGCAGAAAAATTCATAGAGATAGGAAGTAGAATGGTGGTTGCCAGGGTGAGAGAGGGGGAAAATGGGAAGTTCCTGTTTAATGGGTACAGAATTTTTGTTTTACAAGATGAAAAGAGCTCTAGAGATGGATGGTGGTGATGGCAGCAACAATATAAATGTATTTAATACCACTGAACTGTACACTTAAGGATGATTAAGATTTTAAAAAAGATTACAAAAAAATAAAAAAAGATTACAATAGTAAATTTTATGTTTATGTATTTTACCACAATAAAAGTTTTAATTTAAAAACATGAATAAAAACATGAACTAATAATTCAGCACAATTACAACAGGAAGATCAACTTATAAAAGTGAAAAGGAAAAAAAGGATTTTTATATATCTCAAAATAGAAAATAAAACATTTGCAATAGCAATAAAAATAATCATTTAGGAATTTAATAAAGGATGAAAATACCTGTATAGGGGAAAAATTTTAAGGATTAAAAAATGAGTAGCACTAAATAATCATAAAATACAATGTAACAAAAGATCAAATCTGCAAAGACTTTTTCCTGAATATAGTTTTTCTAATAGTAATATAGCTTTCCTAATTTTTCAATATAGTCCTAATAAAGATGGTGGTAAAAAATTTTTTTGTAAATTTGATATATTTTTCTAGTATTTCATGGATGAATAAAGGTTTCATAAATAGTTGTCAAAAAAGAAAAAAACCCATATGGTAGGTACTCATTTGTCCCGTTTTGCATTTGTATAATTAAGGGATTAGCAGTCACCATTCTTACCTAAGATTCCAACTCCGAATCTTACTTCTGTTGGTTTCTGCCATACAACAAGGCGAATCAGTCATCATTACACAGAACAGTCCTTCCCTCATCCCATTCGTCCGGTCATCACAGAGAGCCAGGCGGCTCCTTGTGCTGTAGAGCAACTGCTCCCCAGCTGTCCACCCCAGCACCGAACGGCATACACGTGCTGAAATGCAGGAGCTAAACAGCCTTGTTTACAGCCCCGCCACTGCAGAAACAGGTGTGACGGCCAGAAGAAAAGCTACCGTTTGAAATGCATGCTATCTTCTTTTCAGCCTTTATCATTCTCAACAACAGAATGGTGCACAAGCAGGTAAAAAAGTCTTCATTTTGTTGAATTTGAATGCAGCTTCTGTTGCTCTCTAGCAATTTGATATTTGACAGTATGAAGAGAAATCTCCAGAATAATGTTTATTCAAAAATACTGAGCACCTACAAATAAAAAGTGCTAGTTTAAATTAAGCCCAGTGGCCTACTCTTAGAATTTAAGAAATGGTGGGAACTCTCCCCAAATCTTAACTCTTCTGCACAAAGACTGAGGACAGAGAAAAATTCAGCTGAAAATAAAATCTTGGTAGTTCTGTATTAACACTCTTAAGTCCCTAAGTGCCAAAAAGTATTCATGGGCTATGTTTGTCAGTGGATTGACAGTGGTGACAGGAAAATCATGCTGCATTCTTGCTGAGTAACTTTAAGGCCAAGAATTAGAAAGTCAGAGCTTGAGGGAATTATTTATGCTTAGTTCAAGATCCTAAAAGCTTTATTAAATCGATTGGGTACAGATGTCAGAATTTAACCAAAATTCCAATGGTGGCTTAAGAACCTGCTCTTGATATTAAGCCCCACAAGATTAATAAGAACCATTTTTAATGAACTAAGTATACCAATAGCAGGTCAGTTAAGGTGCACTTACTATGTATACAGAGTCCTCACAACAAACTTGCAAATAATATTAGCCACATTTTACAGGACTGGAAACAGATTCAGAAAGGGTAACTTGTCCAGAGTCTGCAGACTTAAGTAATGGTAAGGTTGAGATTCTAACCAAGTTTGCATTTCCCACTGTACCTCAAAGTTTTCTGTATGAAAGATATGTTTCAAGGGGTTCATCTCTTACACCATATTTGCAGCTTTCCTAGCCTCAGTGAATGACTCACTGTTCTGCTGCATTTCAAATCGGACCCCGCCCTCAGCATCAGAACTGTCTATCAATACAAAGCTAGCCTCCTGTCATCTATTATCAGAATCATAGACAGCCCTGCTTTAAAGAGTAGCAAGTTCCTAGCCCTCCCTCCCCCAAAAAACAATCTTACAGATGTTTACTAAAAAGTTATTTTTAGAGTATGATCTGTACTACCAACCACACATAACTGCCCACTTAGAGGGCATCTTCTCAAACCACAAAAACTCTGCTTCTGGTAGCACTTTAATCAAAAAGTATTATAGAATTAGTTTTAAAAGCCTGAGAAGCCCCTTACTTTTTAAAAAGGAACATGCATAAATATGTGCAGATTTTCCAGATAAAACAAGAAAAACACACATTGACCTAAAACACACTCTGGTTTAAAACCTGGAATGTTGGTGCTGGGGAGATGAAAGGCAATTTCCTATTTACATTTTTTTTTTCTTTTTGATGTGGAGGGTGGAGTAGAGGAAGGAAATGGGATAAGAAAACTGAATTATCCCAGTTATTTTCTAGGAGACTCAGCCTTAACCATTTCCAAAATGCAATGGGAAAAAAACAAGTTGCGTTAAAATTATAAGTATATACCTTTCATAGGAGGTGTTTGGAGTTAAGGTAATCAAGTATAGAAAAGTAATTAAAACAGGGCTTGGAACTTCAAAGTACTAACCAGAATCTTCAGTCATTACACAGAAGCACACATAAATAGGCTGCAGATTGCCATTTGTAGCCCAGAAACTATCTCTCTGGAGAAAGAAATGTCAACAGACTCCAGTATTCTTGCCTGGGAAATTCCATGGACAAAGGACCTAGTGGGCTACAGTCTGTAGAGTCACAGTCAGACACAACTGAGCGACTGAGCATACATCTCCACTGGACTTTACAGGTTCCTCAAACTCCATAGGTCCAAAACAGAACTCAACTCTCCCCAAACCTGTTTCTTTGTTTTGTATCTGTCCCAGCTCGGGACCTTGGAATTATCCTAGACTTCTTTCTCATTCCCTGCATCCTGGCAGTCTTCAAAATCTGTTTCTCTTAAAGAACTCATGGGCCTTGTTTCATTCTCCTGCGTGATTTTCTTCAAAAATACCATGTTGTTGACTTAATTTCCAGGCTTAAATGTATTATTTGTAGAGGCAATATTTTCTTTAGACATTCTTTAGGGATTTTTTAGGTATTCTTTAGACAATGCAAACATACAAGAAAGGTAGTCATTCATCCACCAGCAAGTGATAGTTTATTTTACTGTATTACTTGTATTTCAAAAAACAACAACTTACATGCTTGGGAACAAATGTATACTTGCTATATCTTGTTTTGCTTTGTCACTTAAGTAGGAGCATTTTTCTTGTTGTTAACAATTCTCAGGAAGCATGGTCATACTCTTGAGAGTCCCTTGGACTGCAAGATCAAATCAGTCAATCCTACAGTAAATCAATCCTGAATATTCATTAGAAGGACTGACGCTGAAGCTGAAGCTCCAATACTTTGGCTACCTAATGTGAAGGACCAACTCATTGGAAAAGATCCTGATGCTGGGAAAGGTTGAAGGTAGGAGAAGGGGACAACAAAGGATGAGATGGTTGGATGGCATCACTGACTCAATTGACATGAGCTTGAGCAAACTCTAGGAGATGGTGATGGACAGGGAAGCCTGGCAGGCTGCAGTTCATGGGGTCACAAAGAGTTGGACACAACTGAGCAACTGAACAATAACAAATTGTCATACTCTATGTGTTGCTCTTAAGTTCTTGCCAAGTAACTCTGATAATTATCTTTGTAAAAAAAAAAAAACTATTCCCAACTCTGGGGCCCCACCCCCTGCCTTGAGCATAGAGTTAAAAAATAAATTGAAGTATATTTAAAATGATGAGTTTTTTTGAGCAAAAAAATATTTGAAGCGGGCACTGACAAACCTGAAGAGGTTAGGAGTAGTCTATCATCAGGAGTTTAGGGAGAGGCTTTTATAGAGAAAATGCAGAAGCAAAGCAAGGCAATTATTGATTGGCTACAGCTTAAAGCCTAGTTCAGTTCAGTTCAGTCACTTAGTCGTGTCCAGCTGTTTGTGACCCCATGGACTGCAGCACACCAGGCTTCCCTGTCCATTACCAACTCCCAGAGTTTGCTCAAACTCAAGTCCATCGAATCGGTGATGCCATCCAACCATCTCATCCTCTGTTGTTCCCTTCTCCTCCTGCCTTCAATCTTTCCCAGCATCAGGGTCTTTTCTAATGAGTCAGGTCTTCTCATCAGGTGGCCAAAGTATTGGAGTTTCAGCTGTGTGTGATTGCTTGTCTCTAGGTTTTAGTTTCAGAATCTTTAAGCATTTACAGGCTTAGGTTTTGGTTTGTTTATGTAGGCCACACAGCACTAGAGCCACCTTAAGTTTCTAGGGGCCTCCTTCTGCTTTAGCCAAGTGACTTATCAACTTCTTGTATTCGCTACAGTACCAGAGGTGTGTTGTGTAGGTATTGCTTTAGTAAGATTCAGTGATAGTTGTCAGAGGAGCATTGTCTTCCCATGCATTAACAGAAAGAAAGAAAGTACTGAAAAGGCAAAATGAATAATGGTTTCAAATAGGAAATGAAGATCTTCATCCATGATCTTGGGAGAGCTGTCCACCTCAGGATGCTGTCTGCTTCTGGGGAGGAACTTCCGTAAGCCAATTTTAATTTTAGGTCTCCAGTTAGTGCACAGTTCTTGGAGTCTGGAGGAGCCCTTTTTAAGTGGGAGATATAGACCCAAGGTTTAAGGCTCTGAAGTTTTACTGCTGACTTGGTGTGGTCCCTTCTAAGGAGGTCCAAGGGCAATCTTTGATCTTAGTGATTTCAAATCAGAAGGGTGGGAGAAAATTGGAAATCTTAGTTTGGAGAATAACCAGATACTTGAGAAAACTAGAACAATTCAGGATTCAGCCTAGTTTACAGGTATTTAATGAAAGTTCAAAAACAGTGAATAGGACTAGCATGCAATACCCACAAGATTCTATTATACTTTTCCATTGAAATTTAATTTTTTTTACAATTAACCCCATCATAGTAAGACTAACTTGTTTGCAAAACAAGTCTGGTCTCATTAAACTTGGCCTGACTATTTACAGAGGTACAGTAATACTAGTAATTGACCATACAGTTTCTTTTTAAAATCTCTTATGCTAGAACTTTTTTTGCTAGAACTTTTAATAAGGAATCTTAGATTGAACTTTTAAAGGCTCTCCATATTAAGAAGCCAAATAAAGAATTTGGCATTTCAGACTGTATCTGGAATATCTATAGATTTGGGTGAAATCCTCTCTTCTTGAGGTTCCCAAGATACCCTGAGGTTCCTGGGCCTGCCAGGAAGTGACCATTCTTACTTACCTGGTAAAGTTTCTAGGAACCCTGTAATCAAGATGCCAGGTCAGTTTTTCTTTAGGAGCTTTATTGCATCCATAAAGTCAACCTTAGTTCCTTAAAACTGCCTGGTCATATCTGATTTTATGTATATTCTCGAATATTGACACTCTAATCAAAGTCTTGGTAATATACAATGCTTCCAACTGTGTCCTGTTACAAGGACATATTCTTACTGGGCTTATGTAAATCACAGTATTGCCATGAAAATAAGAATATGTAACAAATTTGCAAATACTGGAGGGATCAGGTAGGGGAAAAAATGTTTCACTTTTGTTTACCAAGGTACACTTTACCAAATTGCCTGAAGTCATAAGTAGTTTAAGAGAGAACAAGGTTTTGTTAAATCTGGAAAATAAAACATTAAGGAATTAGCAGTGTTTCAAAAAAAAAGTTGTTAAAAAATTATCATCAGTTCATTTAATCATATGTTACTAATTCTTATTGGGCTTGAATCCTGCTTTTTTCCCTTAGCTTTGAAAATTCTTACCCAGTTCACTTTTATGATCTTAAACTTATCAGAAACCTGTATTCTAGATCTTTCCATGAATCTCTAAAGACAAAGAGGGACTTCTGTGAAAGCATCAGTAAATAAGTTTCTGTAAATGACAAAAAGACTTTTAAATAAAGTCCTTCCATACCTTTCCTTACCCTCCAGACACATTTTACCTTCCTTCTTACTTTACACACACAGTTGTTTCCTTTCACCCTTTTATTTCTAAGTGGTTTTTAATTAAATGTAATGATTAGCATTTATAACCCTTAGAATCTTTACTTTCTAGTAGAAACGAAAAAGAAGTAAGCAATTGTAGACTGTTACACTAGCATTCTGTAGATTGGCACACTTATAAATACATTTCATAATTTCAAGAAATATATTTTTCCTCATAGTAAAATTTTCAACGTGACATAAAACATGTTTAGCAATAAACCCAAATATCTTTGAAATAAGCGTCTGGGGCTCAGCGGTAAAGAATCCACCTACCAATGCAAGAGACACCAGTGATCTTTAGTTCCTCTGTGACAAGAAACCAAAGTGGATAAAAACTCAAAAGTAAGTAAATCTGTGTTCAATAATTAAGGTTTCAGTATTTTGTTATTTGGAAATGACCGAGATAGTCAATGAAAATCCAAAATTTAACTTAGTATAACTTTTTCCTAGTTTCCAAATTGCCCTACACACACTTGTTTTTGTCCTTCTAATAAAAATACCTCCCTGAGATCTACATTTCAAAGAAATGGCTCTTGAGATCTAGAATACTTACATCTCCAAGCTCTAAGGCACAGAAAAAAGATGTTAAGTTCCACCAGTAGGACCCTGATTCCCTAAATCCAGATGTTTTATAACATCTGCAAGTCTTTTGAACTGAATAGGGGAAGTTTCAAAATTGGTAAAAAGGACAGGTGGGCTTTTCATTGTTTCTAGAGCTATATTTCTGCTCTTGTCAAGACTTGATTTGTAAGACAAGCAGTCGTTCTTAATTCCTCAAAGAACTGGGTTACAAGCTAAATGATATGAAGAGGCCCAAAGGACCCACCCATCCAACTATATTATCTTCAGTTTGCTTCTTCATGTCAGGGAGACTCCCAGCTAAAATGGAAATTAAAAGATTCCTCTGTTCCAGGTTTAGGGCTGTGCCTCTTTTGAATGCTTTAGTAAATCCTTCCAGAGTAGCTTCAGAATGTTTTTCTTTTCCTTTAGGTACACAGTTTCCCTTCAGCTTAGGGAAGAAGGCCTAAAAAATGTTCCTATCAGACTCTGAATATCAGCTTCCAAAGTGGCCAACTTATAACCATGGAGCTCACTAAAAAACCCTTTGAAATATCTTACTAACACATTTTAGGTGGGGCAAACAGTAAATATTCCTGGCAATACTGAACGAAACTTTCTTTTACTTTTAAACCAAAGGTGTCCATATCAAATGAATCAAAACCAAAACCATGGCTTAATCATGGATGCAAGAGGCATTCCCAAAGAAGATGAAAAAGCTATTACTCCCCCATCCCTAAGACCCAGAGCCACTCCCAAAGATGACCAAAGAAAGACTTAGACAATACCCATGAGAGTGGGCGATAGTGGATACTAGCTATAAACAGGGTGCCACCCACATTTCCATCCAGCCATATTTTGGGGTCCCTCAACATGACAGCTGAGATGCCTGCACAGATACAGAACTGCCAACCTGCATCTCTGATGGGCAGAAACCCAAGCCAAGGTCTCGACATAAAACAAGATAAATGAGAAAGAAATAGCAGTCCCTGGGTGTAAGAAATAAAAACTTAAAAGTGGACCATTTTCAAGAATAGCTAGCTTTGAGTGACAGCTTGCTGATGTAATAGTCAAGAGCTGGGTTACGAAACTGAAAAGTCCAGGCAAAGGGAGGGTGGGATACCTAGTATTTTCACACTTGTTTATCCTATTGGTGAATTCAAAACATTGTGCCACCCCACGGACTGCAGCACACCAGGCTTCCCTGTCCATCACCAACTCCTGGAGCTTGCTCAAACATGTCCACTGAGTCGGCGATGCCATCCCACCATCTCATCCTCTGTTGTCCCCTTCTCCTCCTGCCTTCAATCTTTCCCAGCATCACAGTCTTTTCCAATGAGTCAGCTCTTTGCATCAGGTGGCCAAACTATTGGAGCTCCAGCTTCAGCATTGGTCCTTCCAATAAATATTCAGGACTGATTTCCTTTAGGATTGACTGGTTTGTTCTCCTTGCAGTCCAAGGGACTCTCAAGAGTCTTCTCCAACACCACAGTTCAAAAGTGTCGATTCTTTGGTGCTCGGCTTTCCTTATGGTCCAGTTCTCACATCCATACATGTGAGAAGGAATAGGTGCTCAAGAAAGGAGGAAACAAGATGTCAAGGAGGGACAAGTCCATAAAGTGGAAGGAGATAAAGCTAGGTGATGTCCGGGAAGATTGTTTACTCCATAGTAAATGAGGAACTCCTCCTTTACTCCTCAGCTAATGAGGAACTGGGGGAGAGACTTGTGTGCTAAGGATAAATTGCTCATTGTAACGACTCTGGATGTGCCTACCCACCAGACACCCAATCTTGTAAGACCATCATTAAAGCTTTGCTTCCCACTCACCTTCTGTATCCAAGTCCATTCTTTGAGTTTGGGCTGGTGAGTGTGTTTCTCACACTGGGGAGGGGAAGAATCACTCATCAATGCAGATGTAAATGAAAATTCACAAGCCACCATTCAAAGATCTAATTTTTTTTTCTCCTGCCATTCTGAATCTAGAATGGAAGGAATTCTGTAAAACTGCACCACAGGTGGCAGTCCAGAACTGACTTTGTTAAGAAATCTCACCCTTTTCGGGCTTCTGCCAGTTTTCCCACGATCTCATCAGCAGGCTCTCAAGCAAGTGGGGTGTCCCAGCAGGTCTCATCCTGGCCACTAGAAACGTGGGGAACCACTGAGTGAAACCTCCTGCCCTGTCCTGGTATCACAGCGACCACCTGCATGAGTTAGCTTAAATAGGAAATCCAGGTAAGGAATGCAGAACAAGCTACCAACAACCAGAAATATTTGAGAAAGGTCAAAAGGTAAAAGGAGTCCCCAGTCCATATGTCCTACCAACCTCCCAGAATCCTTCTGGCTGGAATCCATCTTGGCTGAATGATGCTAGTGCCACCAGGAAGGATCTTGAGTCAGAGGTGTTAGTCAGAGACAAGCCAGGAACTAACCCTATCACCACAAAACCTGAGACTGTAAGCCCTGTGGCAAAGCACTCCTGGGTCCCCTTATCCTGCATCTCTCTGCCCAAATGCCCCTTCCCAATAAAGTCTCTTGCTTTGTCAGCATGTGTGTCTCCTTAGACAATTAATTTCTAAGTGTTAGACAAGAGTCCACTCTTGGGCCTTAGCAGGAGTATGCTTCCAACAACAAAATTGTAGGGGAGAAAAAATAATTTTCCCTCTACTCTTAAAGTGCTTGGCTGAGACCCCTTTTTCTCTAGAGCACCTCATAAATGGATAAACTTATCTAGGTTAAAAGTTTTCCACGGTGGCCACTGCAGTACAAGATTATCTTGCTAAGTTTAGCCTACTTGCTCACCCTTAAAACAAAATTTTATTCACCTGAGGCCTCAAACAGGACTAGCCCAGTTTCAGTCCAACCCGACCCTGGACCCAGGGCAACTCCAGCCGGTTTCTGAATGCAGTCTGGAAAAAGAAATGCTCAAATAAGGTCTGATGGTTCATAATGCAAAAGCTGCAGAGCTGGGAGGGGGGAAGGGCCAACCCACGCCTCCAGAGGCGATGAGAAAGCAGTGCCCACTGGGCTTACTGGGTGTCTATCTTGAGCTCCTTGGGGTCTCCTTCCTTCGCTCCCTCCTCTGACACCAGAATTATTTGAACAAAAATGGGTTCATACTGGGCAGTAACAAACTAGATGTTGGGAGTGCTCCACTGATGAGAGCTCAGGGAGAGGTTTTTACAGAGAGAAGGCAGAAGCAAAGTAAGGAAGTTATTGATAGGCCATAGCTTAATTCCTGGCAGATTGTGACTGGTCATCTTTAGGTTTCTATTTTGTAGCCCTGTTTCAATTTCTGGTTTGTTTTCATAGGCTGGCTTGGCATTAGAACCACCTCAGTGTAGTGGCCTCCTAGTTTAATTTAACAATAGTTACCCAAAGGATTTTCTACTTGATTTACTCTGATGCTTGCTTTCCAGATCAGGTGAACAAGTCTATTTTCTATGTCAGGGTGGGTGGAGGGGAGGGCCTAGTATGATGTTAAATCCCAGTCTCCCCTCCTCCGCTCAGGGAGTAAAGTCCATCAGCAGGAGTGCTTAAGTTGGCTCTAGCCCTGAGCTCTTACAATGCTTGCTTGTTTTCACAGGGCAGCAGAATGAAATGCTTTAGAAAAAGAGCAACATTCTGGAAAACCGTATAACTTTTCTTCCCAGATTGCTTCAAGTCTGTGGAGGATTCCCTCACTGAACGCCACATCAAAGGTAGGATGAAAATGGGCTTGTGTGTTGGGGTTGGTTCTTTATGTTTTGAATGACCAGCATCTCTCCCCGTACAGCCTGCTCACCAGACGGACTGTCGTGCCCCACACCCTGCCAGCAAATTCTCCTTTCCAGGAAGAAACAGACTGCCTGTCTATCTGCCAGTGGCAAATAAAAACTGCTACCCTCTCTCTCAGAATATTTACATTTTCCTCTTGCTATTTCTCTCTTTTTATGTATTTATTTTACTGAACCACTTATGTGAAGGTAGAAGACATGACATTTCACTCCTGAGCACTTTAGCACACATCTCCTAAGAACAAGCACATTCTCCGGTAGAACCACGAGTCCACAATTACCACCAAGAGATCTAACCTGGTCTACTATACAGTCCTCATTCAAATTTCCCCAACTCAGTTCCCAAAGTCGTTTCCACCTTTTTTCAGGCCTAGAATCCATTCGGGGAAGTCATTGCACTTTGTTGTCATGTCTATTTAGTCCCTAAGAATATTTTCATTCCAGCAACTGCTGTGAAAAGGAATTTCCAAACCTGAAGTTCCCCATCCTTTTTAAAATTTCTCTAATTTTATTTTTTTTTTTTCCTTTACAAATTTCTTTATTTCCCTCACTCTCTCCCCGCTTCACTGCTCACACATCTGAACATCATTTCCAGTTGTGAAAAGGTTAAGATCAGTGTGTAGTTCGACTAATGTTTGAATTACAATGCTTCCAAAAAATTCAAATTTTCTCCAGCATTGTCAATTCATTTTTAGTTACTTCTCTTTCTGATTCACTCAATTCATGAGCTCTTTAAAACACTTTTTCCCCCTATGTGGTGTCTTCTTCATTATTTCCAGAGTTCTGTTCTTTATCCTTAAGTCAGTCAAACATAGCAGTTCCATTTTTAAAAAAAATAAATAAATAAATAAGATTTCACCTGTTCTGTTTTCTGCAGAGCACTTTATACTTCTGAAGAGCAGCATGATCTTCTATATTCTGATCAACACTTGCTATAACAGCTCCCCCGTGTTTGGAGGATCATAATTAATTGAAAGATAATGAAAAGCTGAATACAGCTTTGTTCAACTTCTTCATGGAGCCAGTGAAGTGATTCAGAATTAAATTTTCAAAATCTTGCCTTAGTCCATTTCCCATACTCTTCACTTCTTGATGTAGATACAGGTTTATGGTTGGTCTCATAATTCTTTTTTGTCTGAGGAACTTCCTGAATTTTGTATATATTTTGAAGGTAGAGTCACTGAGACTTCTAGACATATTAGATGTACCCTCTGCTTCAGGCTTCTTCTCACTTTTGACTCTCATTTCTTGTTAAATACCCTCTTTTGCTGCTACTAGAAACAATTGTGAGGAACCGCCCTTCCATTCCCTGCCTTTATGCTATTCCTTCAACAATGGAGCCTCCCTGTAGTTTCTCTAAGTTTCCTCAAGGAGGCTCGATTTGTTTATGTACATCCTCACTGCAGAAAAAGCAAAATTTCTCTAATTTTAAGAGCTTATTACCCAGAGGACCAGAGGGTGGTACACAGCTCGCCCTAGGATTTGACTTCAGACCTAGGGGGAGGACAGCATGAGGAGTGACCACCCAGCAATCAATGAGGTCAGGCTTTCCAGTCAATTCCTTTGCAATTCCTGCCTGAAGTCAACCGGTCATCTATTACAGGCCATTCACACTGGTAGGAGATTTCTGTGGTGGCTTTGATGTCCCTCATATCACAGCCTCTTGTTACCTTTTTCTGTTTTCTCCCATGGTTCTGCCTGGATCGTGATTATGGAATAAACAAGGATTAAGGGAGTCTAGTTGGGCAGACTTATGTTAAGTAAGGACATACTCCAAGAAAACCGTCAGCACTCTGTGGAATTCCAGGGGAAGTCAGGCAGCAGACCTCCACAAATATTCCCCAAATGGCACAAAGCCTTGCTTGTATTTTTGAGGTTGAGATCAGAGAGTCTATAAACAACTTTAGACATGAGAAGTGTCGACTAAAAAGATGTACAGCTTGAGAGTTGCAAGTTTTATCTGGGGCAAAATGAGGACAGCAGCCTGGGAGACAGTATCTCAGCTAGCTCTGAGAGACTGCTTCAAAGAGGCAGTCAGTGAAGGTCAATATATGATTTTGGTGAAGGGGGGAGTTCAATGCAATCAAGTGCTTACTTTACAAAAAGTTTTCTGCTAGTCACAAGGAGCTGAAGTCACCAAGATGGGATTTAGTGATTTTCTAGATCTGAAGAGATATAAGGTATGGGTTCATGAAATCAGTTCCTAAAAATATCTATCTAAAGACCTGCTCCACCAGATACCCTGGAGCACAGAGGCCTCATTCTACCTTGAATTCCGTCACGGGGTGTTGAAGGCCAACTCCTGCAGTAGCACAGGGTTCAAGCTCCAGAGGCAAATGGCAAATGCCCTTGTTTCTGTTCAATCGCTGGCAAAGGCTCTTGGCAAATGCCAATTTCTAGTTGACAGGCAAGTGCCAATTTGCGGACATGAAATCATTTACTCTTAAAAGAGGTGGGCTGAAAAAAATTACAAGTGGTTTTTAAATTTTATTTATTTTTGGTGTGCTGCATCTTCATTGTTGCATGCGGGCTTTCTCTAATTGCTCCAAGTAGGGGGTTACTCTCCAGTTGCCCACATAAGCATCTCCTTGCAGTGGCTTCTCTTGTTGTGGAGCATGGGCTCTACGGTGGACAGGCTTCAGTAGCTACTGGCTCCAGCTCTAGAGCACCAGCTCAGTAGTTGTGGTGCACGGACTTAGCTGCTCCATGGCATGCGGGATCCTCCCAGACCAGGAATAGAACCCAGGTCTCCTGCACTGGCAGGCAGATTCTTCACCACTGAGTCACTAGGGAAGCCCGGTACAAGTAGTTTTATACCACAGAAAAAAATAAAGTTTAAAGTTCAGATCAGTTTGTCAACTAAGCCAATGTCTGTCTTGGATTTGTCACAGGAGTCTTCTGCATTTAAAACAAACAAAGCATCATGCTGAAGAGGAAGGTTCAACCTTACAAGAAAACCCTGGATGGAGGTTGGGGATGGATGGTCATATTTCATTTCTTCCTGGTAATTTACTTTCTCCTTCCCCACTGCCTGAAAGAAAGCTTTCTGGGGAAAGGCTCAGAGCAGCCTAACAAGATTACGCATGAAACCCTTGACATTGACATTGAATGGAAAGGGGATACAAGGCCAGGAACTGCCAATGAACCTGCAAGTTGAAAATGTTCTTGAGTGAAACCAGATGCACTGCCATCCTGTCTCAAACTCCTCCTCAACATTCCTTAAACCTACAGAATGCTCCAGCTACCATTAGCAGCTCTGCCCTGGCTGCATGGCAGTTAGGATTTGGGGACAATCACATTTAGCCATCCTAGAAATAGCACTAGAAACTGCTAAAATGTGCTTCTGCGAGGGTGGGCTGGGAGGGGATTCCCCAGCTCAGTCAAGCAAACATGTAACTGCTGCAAGCAACTTCCTTCTCTCCTAGGAGGCCGGGACCTTTCTTCTGTTCTACTGGTGTCTACTGGTGTCTACTTCCCAACCCATCCCCACCAACCATAACTTATGCCAGAGTTAGGCCCAATGTATATTTCTGACACGTCTGGAAAGGAAGAGAGTGTTGTGAATCCTGAAACTGGAGCCTGATTTTTTTCCCTTCATTCATAAGCAGATCCAACTCCATTTTCTAATTAACTTCTTTCCCTCGTCCCCTCATAAGCTCTTGGAGTTACATGAGACTGTGGTGATCTGAATCGGCATGGTCATCGTGATGGGATTGATGAATCCCATCACTGCTGTACCTTAAACCCTGAGTGTGGCACCAGTTCCATTCCTCTTAGGTGTTCTCAAGTAAATCTACTTTAAGATGTCCTCAACAAAGATTATCCTTCCTTCCTGATCCTCCTCCTCAGCCCAGTCCTACAGTAAGAAGCTTCCAAGGAGGGGAGTGCAGGTCCTGGTGACTCTTAACTAATCTACAGCCCACAGTATAGAAGGACCACACCTCCTCCATCATGACAGAGAATGGGAAAGGAGGGAGGCAGAGGTCCTCAGCCAGGATTTACATAATACAAAACTCCTAACCTGAGGACTACTTGTTAAACATTAGCTTCATTATTAAAGAACACATCTGTTTTCGTTCCTCCCAGAAGTGTTACTAAAAAGGAAAACAAGGACACACTAAACCTGAGAGCCTTTCTGTGGCTGGGCCACCTCCTCACATCACAGGCTTTGCAGAACTAGCATTATTGGTGAGGATCTTGAGTTCTCCCACTTTTTCCTGCATTATGCTCTGAGGATAGGAAGTTATCTAATTTAGTGGCTGCTAAGAACAGTTGTCTATTAATGAAATTAGTAAACAATCTCTCACTTTTTATGGGCTTCTCAGGTGGCTCAGTGGGTAAAGAATCTGCCTGCAATGCAGGAGACACAGGAGACATGGGTTTGATCGCTGGGTTGGGAAGATCCCCTGGAGGAGGGCATGGCAATTCATCCCAGTATTCTTGCCTGGAGAATCCCAGAGACAGAGGAGCATGGTGGGCGACAGCCCATAGGGTCACAAAGAGTTGGACATGACTGAAGCGACTGAGCATGCACACTTTTTGGAGTGTGATGCTACTCTTATGCACACACATAAAACATTTTGGGTCCTCAAAATGTCAATAATTAACTCAGGCCAATCAGCCACAGTAGTAATGTGGGTACTTTGATGATGATGCTTTCGTGCCTGTATAAGTCTACTTTTCTAGAATAGATGAGCTCCTGAAAAGGTGAGTGAAAAACCCAGGTGACAACATATCCTTCAGGAGTTCCCTACCTTTTTTTTTTAAAAAAAGGTCCCATTCCAACTTACCACTTTATAACTGCATAATCTGCATGACTGTTTTCTGTATTCAGCCTATCTCTCTGAACTGAATGTTCTACGAGCACAGGGCCATTTGCTGGGTCTGTTTGCTCACCACTATAAGGCAAGTCCCCTAGTCAGCAACCAAAACACAGGACGCACTCAATAAATATCTGCTGGCAGATGGGAGCATGGATGGACTGACACATTTATGAATAAACAAGGTGATAAATATGAAGTTGGAGAGATGGGCAGGGACTTTGGAGGACTTAAAAAAAAAACAAAAAAAGCAGGAGAGTAATAGAATCAGACTTGTATTTCAGGACAGTAGCTCTGGTGGCAGAGCAGGTAGTGGACTGGTGATGGATAGGCCTGGAAGCAGGGAGGTCCACTGGAGGGATGCTGCAGTAATCCAGGTGAGAAAACAATACGATAGTAGCAACGGGGATGAAGAAGAAATACAGATCTGAGCAATATTGAAGAGATACTGTTAAGACTGTAGAGTAACTGAATGTCAGGAAGAGAGGAATCATGGAGTCCTAGAACACTGGCTTGGACAACAAGGAGGATAATGTATGCCCTTCACTGAGTTGGACGACATGAGAAGGGGACAAAACCTAAAGAAGGCTTGAAGGGCTTAACTGTGGGCACTGAGTCTGGGAGACTTGGGACATAACCAGTCATGTATGTGTTCAGTATAGTCTATGTGCATCTGGAGCCCAGGATCTGCATATTGAGATTTGTGAGTCAGCAGCACACACATGGGTTTGAACTGTAAGTCAGTGTATTCAAGTCACCAGGGAGAGAGAGACAAAAACGGGGAAAGAACCCTAGGGAAAGTGATGCCTAGGGGATGGGCGGAGGGTGGGTCAGAGGAAACTGAGAAGCAGTTAGCGGTTAGCATCACAAAAGCTAAGGCAGAAATGTGCAGAAGCAGATGGTGCAGAGAGGCCAGATATGATAGAAATGACACAAGCTATTGGTTTAGCAACAACGAAGTCTCTGATAACGTTGATAAGAGGCATGCACTGGAGTGAGATGAGAGGAAGCAGAGATAACCCAACAGACTACCACTCTTCAATGAAAGAAGTTTGTGAAGGTCAAGAGCTAGGGTGATACTAGAGAGAAACCTGGAGTAGAAAAACATAGTTTTGTTCAGTTAGGTTGTGTCCAACTCTTTGTGACCCCATGGACTGCACTATGCGAGACTTTCCTGTCCATCACCAACTCCCGGAGCTTACTTAAATTCAGGTCCATCGAGTCGGTGATGCCATCCAATCATCTCATCCTCTGTTGTCCCCTTCTCCTGCCCTCAATCTTTCCCAGCATCAGGGTTTTTTCAAATGAGTCAGTTCTTCGCATCAGGTGGCCAAAGTATTGAAGCTTCCACTTCAGCATCAGTCCTTCCACTGAATATTCAGGACTCATTTCCTTTAGAATTGACAGGTTCGATCTTGCAGTTCAAGGGCCTCTCAAGAGTCTTCTCCAACACCACAGTTCAAAAGCATACCAATTCTTTGGTGCTCAGCTTTCTTTATAGTCCAACTCTCACATCCATACATGACTACTGGAAAAACCATAGCTTAGACTAGTTGGACCTTTGTTGGAAAAGTAATGTCTCTGCTCTTTAATATGCTGTCTAGGTTGGTCATAGTTTTTCTTCCAAGGAGCAGTCCAAGGAGTTTAATTTCATGGCTGCAGTCACCATCTGCAGTGATTTTGGAGCACCCCAAAATAAAGTCTCTGTTTCCATTGTTTCCCCATCTGTTGCCATGAAGTGATGGGACCAGATCTTAGTTTTCTGAATGTTGAGTTTTAAGCCAGATTTTTCACTCTCTTTTACTTTCATCAAGAGGCTTTTTAGTTCCTCTTCACTTTCTGCCATAAGGGTGGTGTCATCTGCATATCTGAGATTATTGATATTTCTCCCGGCACTCTTGACTCCAGTTTGTGCTTCATCCAGCCCAGCGTTTCTCATGATGTACTCTGCATATAAGTTAAATAAACACGGTGACAATATACGGCCTTGACATACTCCTCTCCCAATTTGGAACCAGTCTGTTGTTCCATGTCCATTTCTAATTGTTGCTTCTTGACCTGCATACAGATTTCTCAGGAGGCAGGTCAGGTGGTTTGGTATTTCCATCTAATGAAGAGTTTTCCAGTTTGTTGTGATCCACACAAAGGCTTTGGCATAGTCAATAAAGCAGGAGTAGATGGTTTTCTGGAACTCTTGCTTTTTCGATGATCCAACAGATGTTGGCAATTCGATCTCTGGTTTATTTTCTANTTTAGAATGAGGACTCATTGTATTGCTCCTTGCTCATTAGAGGACGCAATCACTGCTCTGTATTTTGAACCAGAAGAAACAAGTCTGTGTCATTTAAAGCTCGTGCATATTCTCTAACCTCATTTCCTGATAGAGGCACCTTTGAGGAACATTATGATTACAAAGTGCTTGATAAAATGCTTCTTCATTTTTGAAGGTACAGCCCTGGTGTCCATAGCAGTGTTCACTCTAAATAAGTAAAGTCTTATAGTTTCTATCAAATCAGAACAGGAAAAATACATTAAAGGACTTCCTCCTCAACATCCCATCTTTTGAAGCCTTTGAGCCACCACTGATTCCTAGTCCCTCACTCCACACAAGAAACAATACTAATCTGAAGTCTATTGGTGAGGATGGAGCAGAACGTCTTGGTCACTTTATTTAGCAGGTAGAAGCTGAGGAAAGGAAGTTCCTAAATGGAGTCAGGTCTTTGATTTGGGTGAGTCAGTAGATGGTACCAATCAAGATAAATGAAAAGGAAAAATAGGCATGGGGTAAGAGAAAGATGAATTTAGTTCTGGGTAAGTAAACCTGAGTTAGAAAGATATTGCAGACAGTAATATGAGTCTCAAGCTCTTGGGAAAGCAGAATGGTTATACAAAATGATAAAAACATAGTTAATAGGTTATTATTTACCAGAATTTTGTCTTCACAGTCCTATGAACTAGGTGGAACTATGAACTATATCCTTTATCTCCACTTTACAAAAGAGGAAATGCAACTTTTGTAGTTCACCCAAGATCACACACCTCGTACAAAGCAGAGCCAAGATTCCAAGCAGAGGCAGGCTGACTGCAGGCAGAACACAGTATTCACAGATACACCATGTTGCAGGACACCAGGGTTTGATTCCTGGGTCCGGAAGATGCCCTGGAGAAGGAAATAGCAACCCACTCCAGTATTCTTGCCTGGAAATCCCATGGACAGCCAATCATAGTGAATAATTGTCCATGTCTAGTGAATGACTGTCTATGTCTATCACACTATAAAGTGGGATGAGTGCAGAAACAGAGAGAAAGAATCAGTGATAAGGAACCCAGGACCTATGGTCCTTCCACAAAGCATAGAAAGAAAGTGAAGTCTCTCAGTCATGTCTCTTTGCGACTCCATGGACTGTAGCCTACCACGTTCCTCCATCCATGTGATTTTGCAGGCCAAAAGCACTGGAGCGGGTTGCCATTTCCTTCTCCAGATGATCTTCCTGACCTAGGGACTGAACCCGGGTCTCCCACATTGTAGGCAGATGCTTTACCATCTGAGCTACCAGGGAAGCTCTCCACGAGCATGACCAACTTCAAAGCAAAGAAAGTAGCCTTCGAACAACAAGGCCACTGAACAAAGGAAAAGAAAGGGGCCACTAGGAAGTCGCTGGAGACAGAGTGAGTATGTGTAGTTTCTGGGCTTTTTGACTACAGAGCCTGGCTAAGCCTCCCTTCCAGTTCCCCTCAGAACCTTGCTACTCACTGCCCCTCTTCTAGTCAGAATACCAAGAAACAAATGCAAGTACTGCACTGAAAGAAAACCTGACCTCAAAGAGTGTGCTCCCCCTAGTGGAGAGGAGAAGGATGGTGCGGGCAAGGAGGGTAAGGTGGGACCAAAGGGTGGGGCACCTGACCCAAACCTAAGGCGACCATACATCCTCATTACCCTTGCCGTCCAGGCATATTCAGCTCAAAAGCAGAGTTAAAGCAAACTTTTAGGTTAGTTTAGCTAACCTAAAGTCTCACAGAACAATTCTTTTGGACCAACACCTCTCTCTCACAGAGGTAACTAGAATTAGCTGTTTTTAACAGATGCTATTGTTAACAGAATGGTACAGTGGTTGGTCAATATATGACCTTTAAGCTCTCCTAAACCTTAATTTCCTGTATTTCTTCCTATCTATCTGGCTGTGCTTGATCTTTGTTGCTACACACAGGATCTTCATTGCAGCACAGAGGATCTATAGTTGTGGCATGCTCTTAATTGTGGCATGTGGAATCTAGTTCTCTGACCAGGGATCAAATCTGGACCCCCTGCATTGGGAGCATGGAAGGAAGTTCCCTGAATTTCTAATACAATATTGACACACCTATTCCATACTATGTAATGAGGATTAAATGAGATGTTTTCATGAAAAGTGACTAGACACTCTAATGGGACAACCGCCCCATAAAATACAACATGTTACAAAAAGGAACTGGCAAACAAGCTGGTAAAATACAGATGGGCCAGAGAATCACAGCTGCCAGCAGTTCTAACTTCCCCTGTAAAGGCCTACTCACCACCTGACTTGGACTCTGCTTTCATTTAGGTAAATGTATTTGTGATGGGGATGACCAAGACTTTTGCAATTTTCTTTGTGGTTTTTCAAGAAGAGTTTGAAGGCACCTCAGAGCAAACTGGTTGGATTGGATCCATCATGTCATCACTTCGTTTTTTTACAGGTATAAAGCCGACAATAAGCTTGCTGTCCAAGGAGAAGGAACACAAAGGGCAATTTCAAGAAGTTCATCTGTCAGTCATTCAAGACAGCAGCATTACTAAAACTCAGGTTCATTTAAATATGTAAAGCTGAGAAGAGTAAGGACTTACAGTGTTTACCTTCACTTGCCTTGGCAAAACTGGAAAAATTAGGGTTCAAACAAACGAAGTTGAAGAATCTATTTAATGTCATAGGTTCAGCGAGTCAGTTTCAACTGGGAAGTCAAATCATAAAGCTCTGACCTGATCATCTAAGCATACTCATCTCAGTGTAGATGAATAACTGAACTTTGTTCTAGCCATAGGTCACTAGACACAACCTTTTCTTGCAGAGGTTTTATAATGCTTTTTCAGCAAGCTTCCCTTCCAAATCTGCTTATTTACATCACCTTTTCTTCAAAACAAACCAAAAAAAAAACAAAAATTCTTCCTCTAAAAAAGCAAAATAGTATGGAACTAGGAATATTAAGTAAAAACCCAATACAGACACCCTTTTGAAGGATACACAAAACTAAAGTCCATTTATTTTCCTTCAGTTGCCAATTTAAACTGTACACCAGAAGAGAAGGGATGCTGGGGCATATTTAACTGGTATTTGTTTCTTTTCCCAAGGTCCCCTAGTTGCTGTTATTTGTGACTTAACTGGAGAGAAAACTGCCTCCAGTCTTGGGGCTTTCCTTGTTGCTGGTGGATATCTAATTAGCAGCTGGGCTACAAGCATTCCCTTTCTTTGTGTGACTATGGGATTTTTACCTGGTGAGTCCCCTGTTTTAAAAAAAAAAAAAAAATGGAACCAGGAAACTTTCCTTTTACTGTGAGTTCAAAAGGCCTACTTATCTCAGGTTCAGGAGATAAGTACCAAGCTACTTAATGTGAAAGTGACTCCTAGCTATTCTGTTTTTCTTTTAGGTTTGGGCTCTGCTTTCTTGTACCAAGTCGCTGCTGTGGTCACTACCAAGTACTTCAAAAAACGATTAGCTCTTTCTACAGCTATTGCCCGTTCAGGGATGGGACTGACATTTCTGTTAGCACCCTTTATAAATGTCCTGATAGATCTGTATGACTGGACAGGTGAGTCCTGAACCATCAATTCTGCAAGATTTAATGTTGAGCCCTCTCCCTTTGATGATGAGAGGTGGTGAACATGATTCTTCCCTGGAGAATAGATAGCGAAAGAGACTCTGAAATTACTTCAAGGCCTTGCCAGCCTACACAGGTAACTCAGAGTTCAAGTCTGAGGTGATGGAAGGCAATCTGTGTGGCTGGGGGCTTCCCTGGTGGCTGATGGTAAAAGTGTCTGCCTGCAATGCAGGAGACCCGGGTTCGATCNAATGCGGGAGACCCGGGTTCGATCCCTGGGTCAGGAAGATCCCCTGGAGAAGGAAATGGCAACCCACTCCAGTACCCTTGCCTGGAGAATCCCATGGAGGGAGGAGCCTGAAGGGCTTCAGTCCATGGGGTCACAAAGAGTCAGACACAACTGAGCGACTTCACTTTCACTTTTCACTTTGTGTGGCTTGAGGAGAGCACTTTTGCAGGATAGCAGTACTCCTGGGAAGCAAGAATCCCCTCCTCAAAGCCTTCTCTTTTTACTTTTAAGAAAAACATCTGCATTAAAAAAAAAAAAAGACTCCTCCATCAGATTCACTAAAAAGATGGAACTGGGCAAAAAGAGGATTATGTTCCTTAATAATATTTATATACTGTCAACTATAAATTTTCATGAATGAATAAAAATCATTCACTCTATAATTTTTCTCATACCTGAGATAAAACAATTGGTTTAAAATAACCTCAAGTTATTGGGGGGAAAAATCTATGTATACGTAAACATACATGAATATATATATATGACTATTCCTACCTACAGAGCAATTTTGTTGAACTTTCCCTTTTCCATTCCTGATTTTAAAAATCACTAATACAGTGAACAGGACTAGCTGACAAATTCCTAAGACAAGGTACCAAGATAGAAGAACCTACAGCCAATTCTATCTCTAGAAGCAACACACACAAGTCACAGCTTTGGTCAGGACATGCTGAAGTCAAGCAACCACTCAGTTTCAAAGGCAACACTGGCATCTGTCTTCTTTCAAGGAATTTAAAACATGAGATGAAACAGCTATCTCTTCTTCTAAAGCAGTTTCCAAATAATTCCCATTGCCCAATTCTGTATTTTCTGTACCTAAATCTAAAGCCTCAAATCAGGATTTAAAACACATTGTAATTTTCCAACATTTGAAATATGACTCCCCCACCCCCACCCCAACCAACATACCAAAACATTTTTTTCCTTTAGTACAAATAACTCCTCCCATGCCACCTTTGGTATGGCTTTCTGGCTTTCTATCTCCAAAGGGCTCCCTGTTTTCACAAGGATACAGCAGTGTGTACGGCTAACAGTTAAATCAATGGATTTAAATACTTTCAGCTAAACTCAAAGACAAAGCAGTGCTTTCAGGAATTATTGTACTGACTGAATATTTAGTGGTGTGGCCTCTTCTCAGTCTAAGGATACAGAGTATTGTGAAATCAAAGAATTTTAGTTTAAGTTCTCAATTTTTCTCTCCTGTTTAGGTGCCCTTATATTACTTGGAGCTATCACATTGCATCTGGTTCCTTCTAGTATGCTCTTGCGACCCATTCATATCAAAAGCAAGAGCAGTTCTGATATTAAAGATGAAAGTAGTTTGTCTCCAAGTGGTCCAGAGGCAGCATGTAGAACAGAAACATCATGCTGCAATGAGATACAAGAGTTGGCCATCAGGGACAGTATTACACAGAAGGAAGGACAACCAAGTATAAGTTTAACTGCCTCACAAAATCAAAGCAAAGAGTTCAACAATGAACGTAACAGAAATGGACTCATCCGAAAATCTAATGAAGAAACTTATCGGAAAAAGACTACTTCGCGGAGCTGTAAACAAAAACTCTTTGACTTTTCTCTCTTTAAGAATCCTTTTTTCTACATATTTACGTGGTCTTTTCTTCTCAGTCAGCTGGCATATTTCATCCCTACCTTTCACCTGGTAGCCAGAGCCAAAACACTGGGGATAAACATCATGGATGCCTCCTATCTTGTCTCTGTAGCTGGTAAGAAAGCCTACTTCTACCTCACCCTCAAAAGGAAAAACATATTCTAAAAAAATTGGTTACATTTTATTTAAAAGTTAAAGAAAAATAATATTTTTAAAAAGGTGTTTTGGGAGGGCCAGGAAAGGAAGTTTTTTGAAGCTGATGGGAGCAGCAAGCCTTCCCTTCCATAGATCTGTCACTGCATCTTGCACACAGGCTCTCCCTACAAGACAGTGGACCCCAAACCAAGTCTTATTTTCATAGGTCAGTAGTTAAGTATTTGCTAAATACTGAACTTACAAAGCTGGATCGTGGTGCAAACAGTCATTTTAGGAAGCAAAAAAATCTGATGTAGACAGCACAGTGCAGTGGTTGAAAAGAACTGGTTCTAGACCTAGACTTTCCAGGTGCAAGTTTTTGCAGTGTATGACCATTATGACCTCGGGTAAGTTACTTGCCACCTGTCTCTTGATTTCCTTATCTGTAATATATGAATAATAGTATCTACTCTCGTAAGACTTCCCTGATGGCTCAGAGGGTAAAGCGTCTGTCTACAATGCGGGAGACCCGGGTTCGATCCCTGGGTGGGGAAGATCTCCTGGAGAAGGAAATGGCAACCCACTCCAGTATTCTTGCCTGGAAAATCCCATAGACGGAGGAGCCTGGTAGGCTACAGTCCATGGGGTCCCAAAGAGTTGGACACGACTGAGTGACAGGTTATTACGATTAAACAGGTAATGCATGTAGAGTTTAAAACAGTACCTGAACTATCATTAGCATTCAATAATGTTTTAGTAATATTTATAGCTAACAATTTTCTCCCTTTAACTCATTGTAAAAGGATAAGATAAATATGTGTACTTAGGCTAGTCATTAATGGATTGGCTAACATTTAAATTGAACTAGAATGAAAAATAAAACCAATCATTTTAGTTGAGTATTTATAAAAATAAATGGAAACAGAATGCTTGATCCAGAAAATATGGATTCTTTCAGCTGACAAAACAGGGAATCTAAAAAAGTGAAAATGAAGGAAACAGAACTGCTTTACGCTACCTGAAAATTCTCAGTAGCACAACATTAACTTCTCTCTTGCTAATTTCTGGCAAAGACTTTTACCAAGTCCTTGCAAAACTGACAGCACCCCAATTCCAACTGCTTCGGTCAAATAAAATTTGTGTGCGCAAGAAAAAGATATATAGCTAAACTGATGTTTTCCACTACAATGTCTTACAGTATCAATTTAAATCAGATTAGGGCTTTACAGGGCTTCCCAGGTGGTGCTAATGGTAGTAAAGAACCTGTCTGCCAACGCAGGAGACATAGGAGACTCGGGTTTGATCCTGGGTTGGGAAGATCCCCTGGAGGAAGGCGTGGCAACTCAGTCCAGTATTCTTGCCTAGAGAAACCCATGGACAGCTGAGTGTGGAAGGCTATGATGCATAGGGTAGGGTCACAAAGAGTTGGACATGACTGAAGCAACTTACACACACACACAGGGCTTTACAACAAATCCAAAGAATATAATAGCTTCAATATGCATTCTAGGAAAAAACTGTAAAAACAGATATGGAGATGGTAGTATGCATTTTCAATACCTTTTTGTGTAGCAATTTACATTTGAACCACAGGAAGAATTTTAAGTAAAAAACAAGTGCAGCTCAAGCTCCTCTTGGTGAAAATCTCTTTCAGTATTTAACTGGTACATTACATCTAATAGGATAAAGGATAAGAAGGTTCTATTACCATGAAACTCAGTAAAAAATGTTATTCTTAAATTTTATTCAAATTACACCACAGCATCAACATTCAAAACATGATTTCCCATTTCCAGACTTCCTACATATTTTCAAGTTAAGCATAATAACCTTTGGAGGACTTAACTACCAAAACCTCACATGCAATTTTAAGAAAGTGTCTCAACAGCTATTTTTTTTCCCAATGTAAGACTTTATTATTTATACTCCAGTCATCCACCATTTGACTTCCCCAAGACACTAACCTGTGGGTCTACTAATCCTCAAGAAATCTCACTTCCTCACCTGTAGGACCTCTTCAAGGGAGGCCTACTGAGCCCAGGGTCTTCTATAACCTGATATTCCCAGTTTGGTGGTATAAGGCTTCCAAACACAATCAGAATAAACACTTGATGACTCCTCCACCCAAATCTGGAGGAGTTTTTTCAGTATTTTATTAAATGTTTAGAATAGGTACAAAAATGATAGATAGTATCTACTGATACAAAGGAAATCAGTCCTGAATATTCATTGGAAGGACGGAGGCTGAAGCTGAAACTCCAATACTTTGACCACCTGATGCAAAGAACTGACTCACTGGGAAAGACCCTGATGCTGGGAAAGACTGAAGGCAGGAGAAGGGGACAACAGAGGATGAGATGGTTAGATGGCATCACCGACTCAATGGACATGAGTTTGAATAACCTCTAAGAGCTGGTGATGGACAGGGAGGCCTGACCTGCTGCAGTCCATGGGGTCACAGAGTCAGACATGACTGAGCTGAGCGACTAAACTGAACTGATACAAATCAAACCATTTTTTTCTCGTATGTCCCAGCCCCAGGGTGAATGAAGTCTTACGACATAAGAAAAGATGCCTTATGCATTTACACTTTTCAAAGGGGCTAAGAAAATGCAATTAGGATTTCATAAGACCTTTTCAATACTGTTCCAGGTATCATTGAGACAGTCAGTCAGATTATCTCCGGATGGGTTGCTGACCAAAACTGGATCAAGAAGTATCACTACCACAAGTCTTACCTCATCCTCTGTGGCATCACTAACCTGCTTGCTCCTTTAGCCACCACATTTCCACTACTCATGACCTATGCCATCTCCTTTGCTGTCTTCTCCGGCGGCTACCTGGCACTGATACTTCCTGTGCTGGTGAGTAGACACACTCGCTCATGTTCTTACACCAGTTAGTGAAAGTATAAAGAATCATCTCCCCCAAAGAGAAAACATACTTTGTATTACTTTTGTAATTAAAAACAAAAACAAAAAAACATTCCCAAGGCCTCAGAACCTTGTAGCTACATCCTATCCAGCTATTCATCTTATCTTGTAAGGCGGGATGATGAGAGGACTAGCCATGTGGAACAGGAAAGAAAAGCAAAATAGGGAACAGAAGGATTCTACTTTATCAGTCTCCCAGGTTAGGCTTCTATTCTTTACTTCAGCTCCAGAAATTTCTTTGGTTCTAAGATACATCTGGGAAGAGTTCCTTAGAAGAAAAAGGGGCTTCCTGACAAGTGATGACCTCTCTCTTGTGGAGAGAAGTTCTGTATACTTTAACAGGGATATTGTGCTTTTAACTCCTTTTCATCTTTACCCTAAACTGACATAAAATCCTAGAGCTGAATGGAATGGAGTTGTACAAATACTTCTCTGAGTTTTTCTTGGAACCCCACTGGTCCTTAGAACTAGGTCCCCAGTGTGCTGGAACATAATCCTCAGGAATCTTCGGGCCTGATATCAATATTAGCATAAGTGGTGAAGAGTATTAAGAGGCTTAAGCAAAAATTAAAAACTTTCTAACACTTAAGTCAACTTCCTGTGATATCTCATTTTTTTTTTTTTATCTGAACCAACCAACCAGTGGTTGGTACTGAAGAATACTACTGTCAACTCCAACTGTAAATATCATTTCCTAACAGAAAAGAGCAGTGAGACTCAGGGGGAAAAATAACCCCGAACCAACTAAAAGATTTTTAATTCTTACTAATAAAATGAAAACACTATCTGCCTACTCAAATTAGTATTCCCTATCTACCTCAGCTCTTTCATATCAGGGTAGAATGCCATCCAAACCACCTCAGAAGCCAACTGTTCATAGCTTGAGACAACATACATAATATTTTATCCCTCTGTAGGCAAAAGTCTCTGCAGAATATCACCCTCAATATGGTTAACACTGGATTCTAATCCCTACAGGTTGATCTGTCTGGGAATTCTACAGTACACAGCTTTTTGGGACTTGCAAGTTTCTTTGCTGGGATGGCTGTCCTTTCTGGACCACCTTTAGCAGGTAACAGCTTAGCCTTAGTAAACTTCAATCACAATGAACCAAAATGTTGATACATGATTAATGGTAACATGGAATGACAATATTAGACAGTTAAAAGAAACTGATGATTACCTCTGGTGTTCCTATACCAACTCACACAACTCCATTACAAAACCAGGAGAATCTGAGGATTAATTTACCAGATGTGCACTAAGCAGATTTGAGTCTTGTGGCAGGGACTGTGTATATATCTATCTACTTCTCTGGGGAGACAATACAGAGTTTTATCAGATGCCCAAAGATATATGATGCTTAAAAACAAAAAAACCAAACAAAAGCTACTAGCACCTTTTATCTAAACAGCAGTCATTACAGAGCTTGAAAACTGCAGGCCTGATCCCTTGCTCTTCTGACATGCCGTAAGACTAGTGCCAGAATCTGTGCAGAGGACATGTGGAGCCACGAGAGACACTTAAGTATAGTAAAACTTTGGGGAGTTCTGTTTTTAAATTAACTTTAAGACCGAAGCATTGTTTTACTTCACTTTTTACCTACTGGAACATAAGACTATTAAAAGACTAACCACTCACACACAAATATTTTTAGGAAACAGACTTTAGCTTTGGTATCTTATGCTATAGGTTCTCAACTATTGAGAGCTTGTAAGAATTACAGTATATAGAATATGCTATATAAGATATTATTTAAAAAAAAACTATAGTATGCAGAATTAAAAATTACTACAGCATTTCTAATCACCCACAATAAGGAATCCAATCTAAAAATTACTTTTGCTTCCCTCAGTCCTGAAGACACAAAAAGGGTCTGATCTTGCCCCACATTTTTTAAACTAAATTATATAATGACATAAGATTTGCACCTCTATAAACTTGAGACTGAGAAAGGCAAATATCAAAAGAAAAAATATAAAAACTTAAGAAATTATTACTGAAGGTTAAAAAAAAAAACGTACCACTCATCTGAGGTTCAATTTCAGTATATCTATCTAAAGGAAAAATGTACACAAATATACAACTAAGTCCTGATTTGAATTTATGAACACACCTCTTTCCATGAGGTCTAACTTGGCCAATACTTCGTAACTGGAAAACAGGCGAGAATTTTATAACCCAGAATTATAGTATCCAGGTCAGTGAAATAGAGGAAAAGAGTTCAAATACAGTTTGCTGATGAACTTTTTCAATCTTGACCGTTCTTCACTGACTGTGCCAAAGACACTTTTGAACTTTTTAAGCCTGTTAAGCCAAAAACATTGGATGTAACAAATACCAGGGCACAGAATATATTATTCAAATGATAAAGGCAAGTAATAAAACTACATGTTTAGAGATACACATTTTTGTATACATTTAAACATGTTTAAACAGTTCAATGTACGAGAAGACAAGGCAAGCTTTGTGAGGAGTATTACTAAAAAGGAAAAAGCTATAGATGTATGTGTGGGTTTCAAAACTAATTTGTTGGTCTTTAAAAAAAAATTTTTTTTTAAATAAAAAAGGACCACAGAGCAGATCAGAAAACAGAGTGCATCACTTTATTGTGAAATTTATTTCACACGCACACACACCTATGTAATAAAAAATATATATGATATAAATACATTTCTTATTGTGAGTCAAAAGAAAAATTACAAGCCTTTTGCTACCCAATATCCACGATATCCTAGCACCATATGTAAGGATAAAGACAGAGCTCATGGTAGAATTTTTACCTGCTAACTCTCAGAATACTATGTAGGCAATCATAATTTTGTAAGTTCTACCAAAAAAGCTAAAGGAAGTGATAAGGCTGTTGCTAAAAGCTTAAGTATAGATTTTTAGTCTGGGAGCTGCTCAAAGTATCTTAAACAAGATTATGATAATTGATATATAATTCAGTTAAGTTTCCTTCTCTGTATCATGATCTCTCATTGACTACAATGTTGCGCTAGGCATCCTGCTGAAGGGAGATTTCAGGATAGTCCTTGCTTCTGTAAGTCGCTGTTCTGTGAAATGACAAAGAGGATTTTACAGAGGCTGTTAGATTTGTCCCTAACTTCCAGCAGCAACTACTTAAGAATATCAGAAATAGTGATTTGCAGATCACCTCATCTCTCAACTGGTATGGACAGTTACATTATTGTCTTTAACTAAATTGAAAGGTTTACTGGTTACAAAACATTTTTCTAAACCAAACTCAGATCTTCTGAACTATATGAGATTCTCATTTTATACTTACCTAGATTTGTTATTATCAAATTATAAAAGTTGAAATTCCTATAAAAATTACAGGTATTACAAATGAGCAATCGAGCAAAGAGTAAAATGTTTCACAATAATCCTCAGTCAAAAGACTAGTTAAACATGGTACATGAACAATGATTTTCTCATTCCTGTATGGAAATGAAAGAGAAAAACAAGTTAGTCCTACACAGCATATTTTAATAAACTCAAGGAAGGGCGGGGGGAGAAGCATAGGAAACCCAAGGAACCTATTTTCTTTAAAAGAATGTTTAAAGAAATAAGAAAATTATATATACACTTTTTGTAACAGGTAATTGTTAAGAACTACAGTAGCAACAAAATTCTTATCAGATCTTGGCTAAAATTGACAGGGATTGAAATAAATTAGTGGTTCAAAAATTAATCCGTCCACTCCCCCCAACACACACATTCCCCACAAGGGACCACTCTGTCCACTCCACCTCACAGCCCTCCCTATTCTTGTCACTACTCAGCAGCAAATTCAATTTTAGTTAACAACATGACCTGCTTCAGACTGGGTCAGCTGACCCAAGTGTAGGTCAAACGTCACTGTTCATCCAAACCCAAATTCTGCTTTTTTGCTGGTAGATGGCATTCAGAACTATACACTAATACCAAAGACAGACGCTTGAAAGGTTGTGAAAAAATAAAAAAATTAATATTTTTAAAACATAATATACATTTCTAATAGACCCCTGTTAGCGATATAAGTACAAAAATAGTGCTTTGAGCAAAAAGCAAGGAAATAATCATATTCTCCAATGTATCAATACAAGACAGATGTACATTACTTATGTGAAATTCCTAATCTTGTACCCTAGGCATTTGGCATGTAAGCTCAAAATGCTATGGGCTGTTCAGTTTCATTTAAAATAAAAACACCAATGGCCCATATTAGCTGCCTATAAGACAAACTGAGCATAGTTCCTTTCTTCCACATACCCCTCCATTTCCCAATTGATAAAATGCATATATTAAGCTAAAATATATTTTAATATATATTTGAATCAATAATAAATGTCTGAAATTCACTTAAAATGTCATAGATAACTTTTTTATTTTAACCACCAAAAATGTATTTTCCATCCATACAGTTGATCTCTCTTATCCATTTAGCCCTCCCTCTTGCCTTTCCCCTATGATAACCACTACTCTGATCTCTGTATCTACGTTTTGTTTGGTTTGTTCATTTGTTTTTGTTTGTTTCATAAATAATCGCCAGGACTTAACACTAGGGCTTAGTCTAGAACGTCTCTCTCTCTCTTGCTATCATTCTCAACCTCACAATTCATCAGAAATACCATGGAGCAAAACTGGTTAATTTTGCATTAACATTTTATCTGTGTTTTATAAGAAAAGACAATGACTAAAATGGAAATTCATCCATATAAGCCTATCTCTCTCCTATTAATGCAAAAAAGTGCATCTCTTCATGAAATGAGAGATCATTTCCTACCTCCCATCCTTATTTCAGATACAATGTTAAACAAATATTCCATCCAGTTCTCACTCAAACTTTTATCAACCATGCCCTCTACAGTTTTACCAGTCATCTAAGCCTATCAGTTGAGAATTTCTCCATGGCCTAAAATGTTATTTGGACAACAAATACACAAACAACCTTTTGGTCTGCTATAAATCCCTTTTGGATATTAGGGGTATGGTAGACATGTAAGAAAGCAGAACAAAGCTCCTTGTCCCTTAAATCCTGAGGAATATACTATATTCTGAAGAGGCAAAAGAAAACAATATAAATCATTTATTTATCCAGTGGTTATTTTCCCCATAAACAACCAACCTCATAGAATTTTACTTTGATTCAGTATGCCTAAGATCAATGAATCCCTACAAAAACATCAAAAACAAACTCCAAACAGCTTTCCACTGTGGTTTAAAAAAAGAGGTGGAGAGGCAGTCCTTCCCTTGCAAGGCCAAGAAATCAAGTTTCAACATCCTAACAGACCAAAATCCTCTTAATAAACTTTACAACACAGAGTCAATAATTAAAGAACTAAATCTTCCAGCAAATTTCTATCACAGGGTCTTTACAGAGTTCCTGTCTTAAAAGACAGTGAGGTTTATGTCTGCTAAACCATGTTTCCAAAGACTTTCTCCCCTCATGGCACATATAGGAAATATTTGTACAGCACACCCAAAGTAAAATGACAAGGCTGCTAATAGCCAGGACCCCAGGAATGTGAACAGATCATTATCTCTGCACCTCAGAAGTCTGCCACTATGCTACAGCCCAATAGATAGCTAGGAGTTCTAGTTCAACACCAGCAAAGCACTTATAGAATTCTCAACTAGTTTGAACTACTATCAAGGAACTTTGGAATTAAGGGCCTTTTAGGAGTATTTTAAATCTTAACAAAATGACCAATAATAAACTTACAGTAGTAATCCTACTGTAAAGGATTTATAAACCCAGCTAAAAATCACCTTCTGAGCTATCATAGACATGAATACTTTTTAGGCAAGATGTCAGTCATTTTTAAACGTGCATGGTTTAACCCATAAAATGATACAGAATAGTTTTAAAATGATAACATTTTAAAAAATGAATTTATAATACTATACTTAGCACCAAACTTGAAAGATTCTAATCCTTTTTGCCTATAAGAAAACTGGTTTTCAAAACTTTAAGGAAGCTGAGTCCTATCTCCTCAGTTGTTTTAAATTATCACAGGAAACATTATTTGACATTTCTGTCCAGAACAAAGATTACACAGTTAATAGATGTAAGGAAGTAATTTGGACCCCAACTTCATTGTACATAAGAATCAACTGGGTGCTGCCTAGAAGGAAGATGCTTAGGAGCCAATGAATTTGCACAATTAACATGCATCTTAAGTGAATCTGACGCAGGTAGTCTGGAGACATTAAGGAAATGCTTAGAGGGGACTTGAGCTTAGGAAGTCTGCACCACTAGCCAGTGTACTCCTCAGAATGTTGACTACATACAGTATTCCCTAGTGTGGAGTGAAGGCTCAGATCCACGCATGCTTTCCTAGCGGGTATTCTCTGCCATTCACAATGCTTTTGCTATGACCACAGAGGAACCTAGTCTTAAATGTCAATTTATGTGTGTATTTCCTTTTAAAAATGATTAGAATGCAGTGGTTTCCGAACTACCAACAGTAACCCTGAAACTCATTAGGGTTGAAAGTACATTTGTATACAGCTATTTCATGCTATTATTAAAAAAGTACAAAGACCTAATAAAATCAAACCAAATATACAATTTTTTTGTTTGTTTACTTTTGGCTGTGCCTGGCAGCATGCACGATCTTATTTCCCTTGCATTCTATAGCGGAAGCATGGAGTCCAACCACTGAACCACCAGGGAATTCCCTATACAGTCTTCTTTTCCTTTCAGTGGTGGGGAAAAGTTAATTATTCCAACAAAAGAGAGATGTTTGGTTAGAACAATGAAGCTATAAATTTAACTTAGCTAGTTGTTGTTTAGTCGCTAACTCGCGTCTGACTCTTCGCAAACCCACGGATGATAGCCCACCAGGCCCTCCTGTCCATGCAATTACCCAGGCAAGAACACTGAAGTGGGTTGCCATTTCTTACTCCAGGGGATCGAACCCCCATCTCCTGCATTGGCAGGCAGATTCTTTACCCCTAAGTCACCAGGGAAACCCCACATTTAGCTTGATTATGAAGCTAATACTTTCACAGGACAACTATTTAATAATAATACAATTTAGTCGTCCATCTCACTTTTCACCTATTTGCTATTACAAACACCATCATAAAACTACTCAACTACACATTAATATCCTACTGAATGGCAATTAGATCTTAGAGAAAGAATTTTAAAATATGCAAATCTCTCAATTCTCAAGCATGAATGGGAGAAACAGATTTAAAACAAACTGTTTCATTAAACTTTGCACTGGGAATTCCCAGGCAGTCCAGTGGTTAGGACTTGATGCTCTCACTGCCAGGGACCTGGGATCAATCCTTGGTTGGGGAATTAAGATCCTGTAAGCCACATAATACAGCAAAAAAATAGTAATAATTAAAAAAAAAATCTTTGCATGGAAATACAACTTTTGCATGGAAGCAGTTCTACAGGATGCTATATAAGTCCCTGCCCTGCTAAGAAAATATACTAAATATATCTTAATCTTTAATGTTTCAGAAACAAGATTCTGACTTTAAATGTGTGTGAAATGAAGGACTTTATAAGCAGTTTTCTCTCAAACTAAGTCCCGCTAGGATTTATAAAACAACTCATTTTCACTACTTTTAGTTTTTCCTCCTGACCCTTCAGCAGTACTAGCTACCTCCTTGTCCAAGAACTTCTAGTCTTTTCCCAGAGTATAACTTCTAATACCCCATCTTATAATTCACTGGTTATGTATATACATGGTAAATTGCTCTACTAAAGGACTAAGGGAAGCGTGACAAAGGATAAAAGGGGGTGCTGCTGATCTCCAGTTTCTCCTTTATAGGCATTTCTAGAAAAGTTAATAGAATGGTCACCTGTTTCTTAGATATCTAAAGGTCAATCAACATAATACAAAAATTTGTGAGCAGGTTTCACTATTATGCTTATCTCTAAGAAACATTTAATTGAGGTCACTGATCAAGCAAGGAGTTAGTAAGTAAAAGCAACTTATAGTTAGCTGAATTTAAATAAAATATTCCATTTATTCATTACATTAAGAAAAGAAAACAAAAAGCTAATAAAGCAAAGAAACAAAAATTTAAAGTATTTATCAGAGCCAACTAAGAGAATAGAGGACAGGATAGGAGATAAAGACATACATAATCAGACAAAAATTTTATTTTAATCAGACCCATCCAGTGAGAAATCATGTCTCAAGATATAAGAGAAAATCAAAAGACATGACATCAGCTCCATGAAGGGAGATATTTTCATCCATTTTTATCCACAGATATAGTCTCAGTACCCAGAACTGTGCTTGCATACAGTACCAAAATTTTTTGAATAAATGATCAGAATAATAGCCTTGTCTTAAGGCTTTTTTTTGATTTTAAATATAAATACTTATAAAACCCATATTATTGTAAGCTTACACCTACAAACATAATATGCATACAGTAATCTAGAAAAGATTGTGAACCCCTAGAGGTCCTGAGCCTTTTTTAGGCAGTCTGAGGTCAGAATTATTTTCCTAACAATGTGCTAAGTCACTTCAGTCATGTCCGACTCTTTGCAACCCTATGGGTTGTAGCCGGCCAGCCTCCTCTGTCCATGGGATTTTCCAGGCAAGAATACTGGAATGGGTTGCCATTTCCTTCTCCAGGGGATCTTCCTGATCCTCAGGGATTGAACCTCTGTCTCTTATGTCTCTAGCATTGGCAGGCAGGTACTTTACCACTAGTGCCACCTGGGAAACCCTTTCATAATAATTTTGAGACTTTTGCCTTTTTCATAGGAATGACTTTTGCAATAATGTATAAATGTTGGTGCCTTGTACAAATATTCCTTGCCACCACAAACTCACTTAAAAAAAAAAAGCATTTCACTTAAGAAGTTCTAGTGTGTGAAACTCTTTTTCAACTGTTTCTGACTCTTTGTGATCCAATGACCTGTAGCCTGCCAGGCCCCTCTGTCCATGGAATTCTGGCAAGAATACTGGAGTGGGTTGCCATGCCCTTCTCCAGGAGATCTTCCTAACCCAAGGATCAAACCCAGGTCTCTTGCATTGCACGTGGATTCTTTTATCATCTGAGCCCCCAGGGTGACTCGAGTATGTGCCATCACCAAATGATTCTGAGAACCCTTCAATTCTTATTTTAAAATAACACTTTTGATTTCAGGGAGAAATACTGCCATTGTTTAACCCACTTGGCCAAGTCAGTTCCTTTTCACTTGTTCTCACCTGAACCACCCCTGCATAGCCCATATTACAGGTGTAATACCTAAAGCCCCACTACACTATGAGTGCAGGGGCCATGTCTAGTTTGGCTCATTAGGGTATCAACACCTACCACATCACTGGGAACATGGTAAGAACTCAAATGTTTGTTCAGTGAAGGAAAAAAGATAATAATCAGTTCTCACCTTTTTCCTTGGAAAATAGTTCAGTTTTTTTCTTTGTAAGAATAATTGTAAAATGAACTGGTATGTGTTCCCAATTTTCTCCAACTTTCATTATAACACTGGAGATGGGCTCTGGGTTCACAATTACTTTTTCGCCAAGGTTTAAACCCCTAACTCATATGGAACTGATTTAGCTTCAACAGAAAATAAGACAGGTAAGCAGCTTGACTAACTTTCTAATGGGTCACAATACAGACTAATTACAGGAGGCTCCTTCCTTCAATGGTTCATGGCTAAGAACTACTAACAGCACGATTTGCATCATTAATAGAAATCCTTCCTTCCTTATAGGCTGGTTATACGATTATACCCAGACATACACTGGCTCCTTCTACTTCTCGGGCGCATGCTATCTCCTCTCTTCAGTTTCCCTTTTCTTCGTACCATTGGCTGAAAGACAGAAAAACAGTCTGACGACAAAAAGAGAAGACTGCAGTCAAGTGAGAGCTTAAAAGAAAATCTAAACTAAAAGTCACGGGAAGAAAAAGCATGGAGGAGAAGTACCCTCATTTATAAAGTGAGAAGGTGAATCACAGTTTTTTAAGGTTTCTTTTTGCTTTAGCATTCTGAAGAACGTCTAACTGGTGGTAAGAAAAGAGTAATACCAACTTAACAGTCTGCTTCTTAACTAGAGATAATCTTTGTTTTCTTTTCATTATTTTGTTTCTTAAATTTTCTATAATAAACATGTTTTGCTGTGCAATAAAACATAAATAAGAACTGCTAAAAACCCAAACAAGAAACCTTTATTTCAATATCGTTTCTGAATACTATTCCTATCCATCCAATGTTACTTTTTTACTATATTCAATTATCTGAAATGGTCAAGCTCACTATCTAGACATAACCTTAGAACAAGTTTTACATGAAAGTTGAATAGGTGGCTCTTAATGGGAGATAAACTAACATGTTTTCTTAAAAACCATCCTAGTGTTCTCTGAAATACCAGCCTCTCTAGAATCTCCTTCAGCTTGTTATTACTATTATTATTCCATCTTTCCATTCTTCTCTGCTTTAAAGTATCTATTAATTTCCCACAGAGAAAAAAATCCCAAACGAAAGCCTGGTTTTAGCTCCAAAATGTGGCGCGCTCTCACTCTCCACAGGTACCTCTGTGCCACCAGTTACAACCCCAGTGGCTTGCCATTGTCCACCAGTCTTGCTTATCCTTCACAATCTGACTCACCAAAGGCTTCTGGAAAACCTCTCACAGCATGAAGTCATTCTCTCCTCTGGAATCTCATATGACTTTTAACAGAGCACTATATGAGCTGATATGTCAATCTTTGGCATCAGTCTGCAAGATCAACAGGCCCAGCACCAATTTTGGAACCAAATTTATCTGAGTTCAAGTCTAGGTTATCTTAAAAACTGTAGTCGGTCATGTTTAAAATGTATAGGTTTTACACGTAGATGTTCATGTCTAATATTCTTTTTACATTTTACATGTAAGACAATATGAATAGTCAGAAACAGTACCCCCTCACACAAACAGCAATAATAATAAATCCAAGCTCTGCTACTTGTTACTATGTAACTTCAGGAAAGTTACTCAACTGCTCTTGAGTCCCAATTTCCTCCTCTGTAATATGAGGATACCACCAACCTACCTCACTATGAGGATTAAATGAAAATCTACTTGTACCAAGCAAAAAACTCTTCACAGACAGTAGCCACTAATTTCCTTTCTTCTTTCTACATCAAAACACATGATTTAAAAAATCAGTAACTTACTAGGAACCACCCTAATCCATCCCAGCTTCCCTTTTGAGCAATAATTGTTCTCAAAAGCCTGACTACCTAGGACAATTAGATTCTTTCCTCCAATGCAAACTATACACTGTAAGTAGAACCAACTAAACGGAGTTCCCTGACGGACTAGTGGTTAGGATTCTGGGCTTTCATCACCATGGCCTGGGTTTAATCCCAGGTTGGGGAACTGAGATCCTGCACACTGTGCGGCCAAAAACAAAAACCATAACAAAACAGTACAAGCAGAACCAACTAACGAGCTCCAAGCTGAATTCTGATTTACACAGGCTCCATGACTCATACACAACTGAGTAGTTCTTCATCCTACTCAGCGGCAACAGGCCCCTCTAAATCTGGGTGGTGTGGATCAAGAAAGGGTGAATCCCCAGACCACAGGAAGCTGAAGACTTCATAACTAATGTACTCATTGTACTAACAATTAACTTAAAATGTTCCTATTTACTTCTGCCCTCGAACACAACAATATTATAAGATGTCAACACATTTTTAAGTAACCATAATCTAGAAATATTATCTTAGACACATACAGGGTTTCAAGAAAAGCAAAAGAATACACCTTTCTCAAGATATCTCAAGTGGGAGGGGTCCCTGGTGGTCCAGTGGTTACAACTCTGCCTTCCAATGCAGGAGGCACAGATTTGATCTCTGATCTGGGAACTGAGATCCCACATGCTATGGAGTGCAGCCGGAAAAAAAAAAAAAAAAAAGAGAGAGATCCCATTGGACAAAGAGGAAACAAACAGTAGACTTCACACGTGTTTGCAGAAGTAGGCTGGTGAATAACCTTATATCAACATCTAATACATACCAGTCACTGAGGCAGACACATCTTATATTTAATCTTAATTTAATCTTCAGAACCCTTAGAAGAAAATACTATCATGACTATTTTACAAATAAATAAAACTAAGGTCAAAGAAATTAAACACCCAGTATGTAGAGGAGTCCTAACTCAAACACAAACTAACAGAAAACCCTACATTTTCCCCTTTAGACAATCTTGACTTCTTGGCAGAACACAAGATTATGGAGCTAATTTAATTATAAGCAGTTATCTCATAGTAAGTTTGTTCTAACTCAAACTGGCATCAAGTTTTGGTATCTAGGTTGAAATGAAAAAGAGGACGCAAAATATCTAAGAATCAAAACAAAGCCACAAAACATGTTACAATATAGTAAGAATGTAGTTATTAGAAAATAATGAACATTTTAAAGTCTTCCAATATTCACCAACCCTGACCAAAGAAGGTAATGCTTAAGTATAGGCCACTTATAATTACTTAATACAAAATATTAGTTGAAATGTTTATAAAGTGTAAGAATTACCTATAAATACATAGATATTTCGAAGAAGGCAATGGCAACTCACTCCAATACTCCTGCCTGGAAAATCCCATGGACGGAAGAGCCTAGTAGGCTGCAGTCCACTGGGTCATGAAGAGTCAGACACGACTGAGCGACTTCACTTTCACTTTTCACTTTCATGAACTGGAGAAGGAAATGGCAACCCACTCCAGTGTTCCCGCCTGGAGAATCCCAGGGATGGCGGGGCCTGGTGGGCTGCCGTCTATGGAGTCGCACAGAGTTGGACATGACTGAAGTGACTTAGCAGCAGCAGCAGCACATATATATTTAGTAGAGCCATGATAATTTGAACATAAAAGTTCAGTTGGAACTTCTGAACACAAAAGTTCAACACTTTCTTCACACTGAGTTATTTAAAACTATTAACCATTTCCAGCAGTTCTAACTCTAAGAAATGCCATACCATTAATGTAAAAGAAATTTTCTATATACACTGTTCATGAAATACTGCTTCTGGTACTAAAACTCTACCTTATAGTACTTTTAAGTTTTAAACATTCTTTCCCATCTATTACTTCATCAGCATCATGTCAATCCTGTGAGGAAGATGGATAATTATTAATATTCCTATCTTATACCTAAGGAACAAAAGCAAATTAAGACCAAGTTATTTGTCTAAAGTTACAAAGCTAATCCTAAGGGAGCCAATTGTGAATACTAATTAACAGTGCTGATTAGATCATAGCCCCCGGCTTTTCTTCTTTGATGAGTTTAAAATTTAATAAAAGCAACAATTATACTTAAATGGACTGAAATAATCTGTGGTATTTTTCAAATAATCTAGGGACATTAACATATATGATGCTATCTGTTTATCTGCAAAAAATCAGCTCCTTAGTACATAAATTTGCCTAATTGTAAAATTAGCTTTTTCCATGAGAGGAAAAAAAAAAACACAGTGTATTAATATTTGAATTTAGATGTAATTTTTAAAAGAAACAGAATCCAAACCTGAGGACCTAAATTTAAAACCAAGGCCCAAGACTTTTTAAAAACATTGAGTGATTCGCTTAAGACAGAAAAAGCTTGTATGAGTCTTTATGTCCATGTATTTGCCTCATTTGGCTACTCATGCACCACAAGCATCTACCCAAACGTCTCACATTTATTACCCATGGTCTTCACACATACAAACAAATGGAAAACAACAAAAGGCCTTGGAATCATCTTTTAAATAAACCAGTTTTAAATTCATGCTTTATTTCTAAGAGAGGAAAGCTGGGATTACCTAGAATCACTGAGACAAATAAAGACAATCATTTCCTAAAAAGAACTTACTCTCCTGTACATTCTGACTAACACATCATAAAAATCTACTTTCATCCAAAATGATGATCAATAACAACCTAGTGAGGCTGTTTCAGAGATGCAGGGGCTAAGACGGGGCAATCAACTGTCTGACTTGCCTGGAAATCAGGGAGTTCCTGGGACCTAGGACTCTCAGTTTTAAAACTAGGACAAGTTGGCCTCTCTTACCAAGGAGTAAACACATGTGGATGTCTGGATACTTGATAGCATACAGCTAACAACTAAAGTTTTTTTTCTGGCCACATTTACCAAGAATCACAAATTCAATTTATTTTACATCATTCAAGGGCTAGTAAGCAAAGAGAAACAAACAGGATACACAGCAGTACTTAAGGAGTGGAGGCATACACTTTTTAATGAAAATCCACTTTCAGGCATTAACTGATCAATGACTTGTGAAGTGAAATTTCAAAAACTGAATTAACTTTCCTGGTGGCTCAGATGGTAAAGCGTCTGCCTGCAATGCAGGAGACCTGGGTTCAATCCCTGGGTCAGGAAAATCTCCTGGAGAAGTGAATGGCAACCCACCCCAGTATTCTTGCTTGGAGAATCCCATGGACAGAGAAGTCTGGCAGGCTATAGTTCATGGGGTCGTAAGAATCAGACATGACTTAGCAACAAACACACACACCCTGAAAAATTCCAATTTTCACTTTTACACTATTTTTACAAAACTGACAAACTGGGCCAAAATAAAGCCAAGATGTCCCAATCTTTGGTTGGTGTCAACACATCAACATTCTTTTAGCAAGGAAAAGAGAAATCTATCCTTTAAGAGTATCATTTCAGGACCAAGGAAATGACAGGTAAGTTTTAAAGAGTAAGAGCTAACATAACCTTCCTTCAATATCTCAAAGCTAGTCACAGTTTAGTATAAATTATTTACATACACCAGCCTCTAGAACAGAGGACTTTACCACACTTGATTAGGCCACTTAAAGCCTAAATGCCCCAGCTATGCAGCACAGTCCTCTGAAGCCATAGTAATAAGATGACTCACCAAGTGGCAGGTGTCTTAGGTTCTACGATTAATGGGTGTCTGCCTGGATGAGAACTTATGTATGTGCCCAACAGACGATCTCATCCTGTTTGGCTAAGAGAAGAGAGAGGCTAAAAAAACTGGTCAGTAGTACAGTACCTGCTTTATAATGGAAAGAATCAGACTTTGTCCCAGAGACTTGTAATTCATGCAGACTTTTAAATGTCCTCTGTATGCATTATACCCCAATTTTCACTTACCAGAAAAGTACAACAGAGTGATCTAAGAGGATAAAAACCAACTTTATCATCCCGAAATTAGGTACAGCTGAAAAGTGAGAATTATCATATTGAGTTCACTCAAGATATGTGAAGTCAGAGTCATGAGAATATTAAATCCATATTTAAACCCTTCTATTACATTTAATGACTTGATGTCAGTTTCCACTCAAGTAAAAGTCAGTTCATATTTTGAGTTCTAGTTCACAAACGTATATATCCTTATGTGAAAACTGATACCATGTCACAGTTAATAAGATATGGGTTTATAAATATGGAGTTTAAAAGAAACTTACCCTTTCCCTTTGTGCAGCTCTGACTTCCAACCCAGTTTCTATAGAAACAGAAGGACAAGTGCCAATGCCAGAAGTCTGCCAATTAGAACTCATCTTTTAGTTGCTGAATAATAAAGCCATATCCCAAAGTCGGCTATAGGTTTTTGATTGTCAGTAGTTCCTAAAAAGAAACCCAGGAGGAAAAAAAGACATTTAACCAATTACTATACTTAGAAATGCTTAAACTTGGCTATTAAAAGAAAATAGAGGAGGGTAGATCTAATACCATGTGTTAAATTTTTTTAAAATTAGGGCTTCAGACATCTCTACACTTAAAAAGCAGCAAAGAGAAGAAAAGTTGTCTTTGAAGGTTCAAAATACCCTTAAACCAATGTATTAAAGAACACTCATGCATCACAGACATAAAGTATTTTCAACCACCAAACCTTAAAGTTCAGATGAATTCATCCTTTTTGTGGAATGAATTTTCAGTAAGATTTTTAACACCACAGAGGGTAAACTTCGTAAGTAAAATTTGTTGGGAGAAATAAATAAATGTAAATTTCCACTGAAAAATAAAAAAACACTTCTCATGTCTCAGGAGGAATCTATAAATCATAAATGAACCCTAAAGAAGTTTTCTAAAGACGCTGACATTGCTGTGCTTGATGAAAAAATCCCTCTAAAACATACACGCCAATTGAAAAACTGTGAGACATGAGAATAATCTGGCTGAAATTTCTCATTTGGTTTCAATATGGCTGCTTGGTTAATGTACTTTAGAATCTTTTACCTTAAAAACTTGGGCATTAAAAAAGAGCATTTCTGTATCTAAATTGGTACCATGAAATTCACAGTATTTTCTGAAAATTCACATTGGTCCATTCTCTTCAATATATATGAATCTTTATTACTTGTCACTGTGAACTTTAACATAATTAGATTCTTGTTGCTATGTGAGGAAAATCAGTTTCTTAATGAAGTTACTTTTGTACTATGATTAAACAACAAAATCAATCAGGAACCACTCCTCAATCCTGTCCATATCTATGCTCTCCAGAGAAAGCTCTGAATCCATCTCTACCAAATTTTCTAAATTATGGGGCACCTATCAGCAGTCTCAAATATCCTCACCTGTATCTATAAAAAAAGAACCTGTTTTATCTTACAATGAAAAGAGTGGACTAGAGCAGAATAGGAGGGAGAGAAAAAATACTTAAATGTAACAAAATAAGCAAGACCCAACTAAGTAGGCTGGGCTTCCCAGGTGGCGCTACTGGTAAAGAACCCCACCTGGCAATGCAAGAGACATGGGTTCGATCCCTGGGTCTGGAAGATCTCCTGGAGGAGGGCAGGGGAACCCACTCCAGTATTCTTGCCTGGAGAATCCCACAGACAGAGGAGCCTGGCAGGCGGCAGTCCACAGGGTTGCACAGTCAGACACAATTGAAGCGACTCAGCAAGCAAACCAACTAGGATAGACAACAGAAAACCCTTCCCTGTCTTGGTGGCAGAGACCTCTGGTAATTTTCTGGTTACAAGAGTTCACTACCTATGAACTCCTGTACCTACTTTTCTTAATGAAAATGTATTTTTTTAATCTTTAAATGTCCTTGACTAATGCACAAATTTGAGAATCTTATGCATGAGGGATAAGATGCTAATCACCAAGTTTTCTACCCTAAACATTTATATATCTACATCTTAAGTAAGTATTTATCAAACTTTCCAGTAGAGGAATCACTTGGGGAATCTGAGTTCATTCAATAGGTTTGTGTGAGGCCTTCGAGTTATACATTTCTTAACAAGCTTCTATGGGATGCTATTACTGCTGGTCTGAGGATCGCACTTTCAACAGCATAAATTCTACAAGGCTAAACAATATACACATTGCACTGAATCCAAATTCACTCTGAAAGTTTTTGGTTTTGATGTTTGAACAATTTTTAAGAGGCTGATTGTGCATGTGTTGGTCAGTGTATTTATGATTTGACTCTCGAGCAGTGATTCTCAACCTTGGCTACACACTAAAATCAGGTAAGCACTTAACACTAGCACCTTGGCAGAACCCCACTAGACCTAGAGGAATTTACATGAATCTATGAGAGTCTCCCAGCTACTGGTATTAAAGTTTATCACATGATTTTAATGCATAGCCATTAAAAAGAATTCTACAAAGAATTCTAAAGAGACCTGTGCTACAAAAGAATTCTAAAGAATGCAGTTTATTGAAGTGTTTCTCTATAAAAGAGTATACGTAAACTATACACTTATCTTGGGAACAAGGCAAAACTGACAGTTTCTATATGCTAAAATAAAAATTTTATGAAACAATTTTCCCCAAATTCCTTAAAAACATGTAATAAAAATATATATGTATATGTGCCTCAAAGTGTTCATTTTACCTGTAATAATAGTTCTACTCTGAACATTAATGCAATAAAAGGTTATGCATGGAAGTTTTTCATTCAGCCTTTTTTGGGTAGAAGGAAAACCTGCTGGTCACTTGAGAAGATCAGATACTAATTCAGTATTTTAAAACAGTATACATGCATGTATCTGGTTTGAACAGGTCATTCCATAAAAACCTCTAAACTGATTTTTAGTAGGGAGGTTTGGTTTGATATCACTAGAAAAATGACAAATTATGAAATATAGAAAACATGGTCAAGGAGTTACAGCAGAAACTATATGTGACTAGTGTCAATTGTCGTAATAACTTGCTAAAAGCAGAAAGAAAACGGACATGCAGAGAAAATGAGGATATATGAGGAAGACCTCAGGATGGCCAACAATTGTGAGACTGAAGAAGAAATAAAATCTGTCATAATAAATAAAAGAACACTGCTTATCTCTAAGCAAGAACATATTCACAGTCTTGCAGAGAATTTGAAATGTTAATCTATCTTTGAAGGAAATATTATCTTTGATGTGTTAATGGTTGAAAGATTTCCCAATCTGAATTACTTATACTGCCTTTGTCTTCAATTTGTATAGCTAATTAACTAACTCTTCAAATATTTTGCTATCTACTATATACCAGGCACTATTCTAGATCTCCGGGATAACTGAAAGAATCTGAAAGATATTTGTTCCTTTCCTGAGATACGGAGCCAAATCTTGATCAAATCACTTCACCCCTTTGCTTAAAACCTCTGCATTCAGTTTCAGAACACAATCTAAACCCTTGGTCCTTGGCAACAAGGCTCCAACTTAGTTTCTGACCTCCCTTCCCTGATAGCTCAGTTGGTAAAGAATCTGCCTGCAATGCAGCTGACACTGGTTGGATTCCTGGGTCAGGAAGATCAGCTGGAGAAGAGATAGGGTACCCACTCCTGTATTCTTGGGCTTCCCGTGTGGCTCAGCTGGTAAAGAATCTGCCTGTAATGTGGGAGACCTGGGTTGGATCCCTGGGTTGGGAAGATCCCTTGGAAAAGGGAAAGGCTACCCAACTCTGGCCTGAGAATTCCATGAACTGTACAGTCCATGCGGTTACAAAGAGTCTAACAAGACTGAGCAACTTTCACTTCACTTCACTTCACTTTCTTTGATTATAAGCTCCGTGAGATATTAGGAACTTGTCTGTTTTCCTCACCAATATAATCCCAAGACCTAGAATACTGCTTGATACATAATAGGTACCTGAATATTTGAAGAATTAATTAGCTACACCAATCAAAGATAAACCTAGTAACAATAATTCAAAATGGGAAATCTTTCAACAATTTACAAGCAAAAGATACTCAATTTTACCTATAATTCTATTGTACCTCATTCAAGCCTATTAGTAACCTAGTTAGAAGGTAGCAGACAGAAGTAATGGTTCACTCACAGAAAATACTTACATGTATACATACACACTCAATCCCAAAAATCACTTTCAATTTTAAGACAGACTACAATCACATTATTTTTTAGATTAACTGAAAACTCAAGGATATCTCGATCAATTCCTAACAATATACCCCTTAGCCAAGACACAAAACTTTTCTGGTATCCCTATAACATTTCATAAACTAAACAGCAGCCCTTCTTCACAGGTAGTTAGTAATAAGATAAAATTAAACACTAAGTTAGACTGAATTTCTGGGAGAAATAATTACATGACTATACAACTACTATTTATGACAATGTTAAGTGCTAAATTCCATGGCATTTGCCGTTTCATTCTGCTTGTCCTTTCAATAGCTCTGAATTTATCTTCTGGAAGCTCCTCTCAGCTTCACAATCTGAATACTATTCTGGTTCTCCTACCTGAGACTCTTTTCTGGCATCATCTTCTCTTCTCATGCCTTAATATGACACTACCCCAAGTTTACACTTCAACACTCTTACTCTCTGACCAATGCTGCTCAACCCATGACCACTGAACACAGAACCCATGACCACTGAACACAGACTACTACATCAGAATTACCTGGAGAGCTTGTAAAAGAACAAAGACTCCTGGGCCACGCATGCTGGTCCTGACAAACCCCACAATCTCTGGGGTTGGAGCCAAGGGCCTGTATGTTTCCCAAGAACTTCAAATGCTGACACACTATAGTTTAAAATCCACCACCCAGACATTTTCTCAGGTTTGCAGCTTTAATCCCATCCCAGCGTCCTGAAAACAGTGAGATACGACAGTACAGTGACCAAAAGCCCTAGCTAGAACAAAAGCCTGGCTAGAACCCTGGCTGTATCACTCACTGTCAAGAGTATGGTCTGTGGTGAAAAGTAGATGAGACAATGTTTGTCGAGGACTTGGCAGAATGCTTGGCCTCAAGTATCTAATAAAAATGACTGCTATTAGTACTGTTGCTTTACATCCATATCCCTCAACTAATTATCCATTCTCACTCCCCAGCTGCCTAAAACTAGCCTTTCAGTACTCCCTACTGTTGTTGACTCAACCATATTACTAGTTTTCTAGACTTAGCCTGCATCTTTCCCATGTATCAACAAGTTGCTCTATTATTATTAATCATGCTTGATGGACTGACATCTCAATTCCAACCTCTCTCCACCACTCAATGTTCTTCTTCATCTAACAAATTATTTTTTAAACCCTTTCATGATCAGCCCAGCTTAAAGTTCACATACTCAATCATATACCCATATTGCCAGTAAGAAGTCAATTAATCAAATATTGGCCTGTGACATTTCTCCCATAGCTGTCTTGAACAATGAAACTGCCCCAATATTTAACTATTTCCCTGTTTCTATCTAATTTCTCCAATCAGAGTCCAAGTTGCTGACAGGAGTAGAGACTATTTGATACGTTCTTCTCTATGCTCAATATCTTACTTCTTAACGTACAGCAGAATTTAATTTATACAGGAATCCTACATGAATGTTTAATAAAATAGCATTTGGGAACAGAAACATGTTAAATAATTTTACCTCAAGATTAAAATCTTGGTTGCTTCTCAGCAACAAGCTTGTCTGAGGTTTGAAGAAATTTTGTCACTCTGCTTAAATTTATAAAATTAATCAACTTTGCTAAAAACTTGTAACTACATTATAATTCAAGTTTTTAAGTAAAAGCTCTTTTAACCAGGAAAGCTTAAAAACAGCAAAGTGGAGTGGGAAACAGAGGTGATGGTCAGATAAGCCATAATCATATATCCTACTGCAAAAAAAAAAAATAAATAAATGCTGTACAAACCATAAGTATTAAATTTAGTGCCTCAGGTAAACAACTTGTAAACAATAATATGACTTAAGCTACTGAAGTGGCAAGTTATAAAATCTAGGTTGTTTCACTAGTCAGGGTAATCTCCATTTTCAATTTTAATACAACTAGATCTTTCTAAATGGAACTCAGAGATGTTCTTGGAACTATTTCCTTTATAGCAAAACCCTAAATTTAGATCCTTCAAAAGACACTGGGAAACCAGTGTGGAAACCACACACATAATTCAAAGGGGCAGTTTCCAATTTATAAAACCAGGACTCTAGATCTAACATTCAACTCAATTAATATTTTTTTCTTCAAGGAGTAAGTAGAAATAAAATGATTTCATTGAGTAGTTTCAAAAAACAGTGTACCTTTCCATTTTGCATGACATATTCAATAAACAAATGCCAAACAAATGCCCTGTCTGCAATAATTTTTCTTCTTGAGCTAAAGCCTGAGATCTTAAGAGATACCAAACATGAAGAAATATGTTGAGAGTATAATAAAATTTTCCTCAAATTGCCACAGTGATTTTCATTTCTTAAAACTAATTAGGAAAAACTACTTAATGAGCTTTCAGTATGGACTAGTCAGAGAAAGAAAATACACCGGAAATTAACATTTCCAACAGGAATAAACAGCTTAAAGAAATGGACATGACAGATCATTTAGCAAAGCTTTAAATGGCAGCCAATTCATAAGCAGATGTTTTACAAATTCTTGAAAACAACATACCGAGAACCTGAAAACTGCTGTACTTCACTTTCCCCATTTGGAAAGAGATGGAAAACAAAAATCTAATGAAAAAGAAAAATCCTCTCCAAAATTTTTGATCCCATTTAAAATACAGCAAAGAAAACCTAAACTGTATTATACATTTAAAAAGCTATGCTTGTGTACAGCTGCCAAAGCCTCACACTTGATTAATAACAAAGGGGCTGGAAGGGCTCAGAAGGCTAGTAGCACCAAATGGACAATGAAAATGGTTAAGAGATTTTACTCAGCACTGCCCATTCACTTCCCTAAGTTTACTGCAGCTACCTAATGTAATAATTAAATCTCCCTGTGGAAAAAGAAAACAATTAACCATTTTGGCTAAATTATCTATGACTCACAGTCCAGCAATACACTTTTTTGCTATATATACTAAAAGATTCTTAACTTGGAGGTTAGAGATCAGTGTTTGTAACAAGCAATATTTTTACACCAGATGAGTTCTTCCAGCACCACTGAATCACCAATAACAGTGAAGGCTACAGTTAAGAGAAAACATCAAATTTTTACAGGTCCAAATTCATAACCAGAATTTTAACACTTTGGCTCCCACATTTAAAAGCTTTCAAATGTTAATATAAACTTTAAAACTTAAAAATATCAAAACACCAAGAACAGAAGTTCTGGTCTGCAACTTTGTTAATGCAACACTTTCCTGAGGGGAGGAAGCTAGTAACAGCAGCAGAGTGCCTAAATCAGAGAAACATATCCCCAAACATTAAAAAGCCCTCACCCTGTTAATCATAATGCTTTTGACCTCTAAAAACCCTCTTACCTGTTTGTAAGAGTTTATACAGCTGTTTGCCACTGGAACACCACCTTGCAGAGTATAAGCGTGGCATCCTTTGTTGATAATCACCTGTTGCCTAAGTAATCATCATCCCGCATGGAGACAGACAGCACTAGGGCTCTTCCATCCGAGGTTAAAATTCAAAACAAGCCCAACAAGCCTGAATTTCAAGGTGGTCTTCGTCTGCAACTATTAAGTTTAAAACTGGCAAACAACAATGGTGTCTGAAGCCAATGGTGCAGCACTGCTGGCTTCCTCTTGAACTCCAGCGTTGTCACTGTGCACCGAAGTCTCCTGCGGCAAACAGGGGAGTTGTTCTCCTGTACTGGAAACAGCTTCCAAAGATCAGGAGCCCCTGTACAGGATAATGCAGGAACTAAAGGCAAACACTTTTTCCTCCTTAAGGATGCCTCCATTTTTCCTCACAATCTGTACTACCAACCGAAGTGACTGGGCCTGAGTGTGCGTTCGTACCTATGAAACCGTCACGGTGCATGCACATCCAAGGCATGTAGAACCACAGGTCAAATAAGGCACAGATACCAAGTAATGGTTCTAATTACAAACGCTAGCTCTCAGGAACTCTTCATCCATTCAGAACTAAACCCATCACTGCATAACTCTGGTAAGAAGCCCCTGAAGATGGAGGAGCTCCTCAAGTGTGTCAGGAAAGGCTTTATTAACATCATCATTAACATTTAAAAAGCAAGTGGAGCATTTCTCCTTCTTTTGGCAATTTGGTGCAAATGTTAAGTGCAAGATAAAGCAATTTCAAACTTTTCTTCAAATTAAAATGAAACTAAGGCCAAACGTGATGGGTGGACAAAATAAATCAAAACTTAAAATTCAGCAACTCCGGCTCTTCAAACCAGCAAAGCCCCCGACTTGTGCACTGTGGTGAGGCTTACGGTGCTTGCCCCGGCTTCGTGCGTGCCAGCAAACAGCACCATTTCCTCATCAAGTTGAGGACTGAGAAGCAAATGATCCCCTTCACTGCAAACAAAGGGGGTCACAGTAACACTAGTGATCCTTCAGAATTGACACACTGTGATAGTCAAAATGATGGTCTCCCTGCTTCTTGCTCAAGACATACAAGATCTGAGCAGCAGCAAGTACCCCCTCAGCTGCAAACAAAGGGGTCAAAGGTTTGCCGTCAATTCACTTCCAGGCAGAAAAACATTTTCCTCAAAAGAAACAATTTATTTAGAATAAAACAAAAGCAGCTCAACTGTGAGCGCACGTTTGAGTGACAGCTACTTTTAAGCTGTGTGAGCCATAAAAAGGGTTTTTCTTTTCCAGAAATCTTGTGTACACAGCACAAAGCAAGGTCATTTTTTTTTCCACTTAAAACACCGGCATTGGCATCACAATAGCAGATACACAACTTTAAGCTGCCATTTTAGTAAAATGCACAAATACTAAACAGATTAGCTTTCTTCCATCAAGAGGCCCATGTAAACTTCACATAAGCCACAACTTCTCTTCAAAAAGGTCCATTAGAGCTTTGAATTCCATGTCTTCATCCGATGTTCACCAGTTTTGCTTGCGGGGGGGAAAAAAAGGTTATTCAGTACAAATGTTTACAATATTAAAAATATATATATTTCCCCTATGCCATTATAGATGAACATAACATTAACAAGACCTTAATCCACCTTGACTTCAAAAAGCACCAATAATACCCACTGGCACAAACCTTGAAATGAACTTACTGTGAACAGACAACAAGTAGAACAATAGGGTGAATTTTTTTTTAAAAGACTGCAATTAAGGATTATAGGACTGAAAATATCCTTTGTACTCATGTAACTGAGTAAAACATGTCAAAAAAACTCAGAAAAAAAGCAAGTTTATAATTAATATATTCTACATTAACTTAAAAAAATGAAAACTATAAAAAGGTGGAGTTTAGTCACTTATACCCCATCTATCTTCATTCTGTAATTTATATGGAGCAATATAGACCTACTCCATTATTGTAGAAAGGGGTCAAGATACAAAACCTTTTAAAAATCCACCTTCATTTGTGTTACCAAAGACAGCAGTTATTATTTTCTTTAAAACACTCATACAAACAATCGCTAAATGGCCAAAGAACACTGTGAGACTTTTAACTTTCCAACTGTTTAAATCATACATATAAAACTCTTCATTAAGCAAAGACAGTTCACCGTGGTCACCTGAAATCATTTTCTCCCTTTAGGCACATCACTGTAACCAGAATGTTAACAGGGTCAGCTCCACTTCTCTTCCTGTTCTCATACCTAACTCCTATCTCCAAACCAAACTCTGTGGCAGAGACAGAAAAAAAAGGTCCAGAAATTCTCTCCAAAAACTTTTTCACAAAAAGGTCATTAAGGCCCTCTTCTCAAGAGGATTTCCTAGTTCTGTTACCACAGAGTTTTTGGTGAATGGTTCCTATATGGACCAAAACTGCAGTTTAAGCTGTACCTGCATAATGAGCAATTTCACTGTCTGAAGTATTAAATGAAATTAAAAAGACAACAACAACAAAAATTGTCAGTGAAAATCTGCTCATAAAATAGTTTTTAAATAAACTAAACAAGTATTAGACTCTGAAAGCAACACACCCCTTACTTTTACTATTGTACCTCAAGTGGTCTAACTGAGCTAAGGGCCAGACATATTACCTTCAAAACGTGACAAAAGCTTCTACCAGCCAGAAGACGGATGTTTTAAGACGTAATCCTTAAAGGGAAAACTCTACTTACTCTCGAGTGAGAGTCAAAATAGACATCTGAAAGCAGGAATTTAAATTTTTTCGTGGAAAACTCTTTATAGGAATCCCAGTAACAACCAACAAAATAATACTAAAAAAAAATTGGCTAGGAGCTGAATGATTAGTTTTTCATAAAGTCTGAAATTGTGATAAAAAATCTAAATTAGCTTGATGGGTTTTTTTTTCACCAGTAATACTTAATGAGTCATTTAATCATATACTTAAGAAATTCCATTCATTTGAACTTGAGTTCCAGAAAAATCAATTAAACAAATACATTTAAAAAAAAAATAAAAGCAAAAGAAACTGGCTGTCACAAAGAACATCCAATGTTGAGATTACAAATTCTGGCTAGTGAGAATTAGAACCAGACTGTTTTAGACAAATGCTTTCATTTCACTCTTAAGTTTAGGTAGATAGTTTACCAATATTATAAACCTGAACAGAATGAGCAACAGAAGTAAGAGATTCATCTGAATGATGGCACTCTGTAGGTAAGCACCAAACTAAACATAATTTTGTTATAATACATACATTTAGAAATGGTATCACGCCATTGTTTCAAAAACACTGAAGCGCAAATTGCCCAGATCTAACAAAAGCCACGATGTCAGATAAAGATTCAAACATGGAGCAAAACCCACAGTACTCTATACTCTTCGATAAGCTGGCATATCAACTTAAAAAAAAAGAAAGCCACACACACTTTGGCTTAGAGTAAAATCAGATATCAAGGACTTCACTCTCTAGAAGAGTAAAATCATTTGTCCAGCCATCTTATCAAAAGGTATTCAAAAGTTAATGGTTAGTGAGACTATTTAAACTGGAAAAAATGTATCTAGCCACAAATTGTACTTTGACCCCATTTATTTATGCATAGACTGCACACTGACATAAGTTTCTGAACACTGACATAAGTTTCCGAACAGGTGTCTATTCCATATTAGCGTGTCAAGCAGTTTTTTAAAAGCAAAAGGACCAAAAGTGTTAGATTGTAGGACTTCAGGTATTTTCCCTACAGGCACACCAAGGACCTCTGTGCTCATAGCCTATTACCTTCCTTCTCTCAAAATGGCTAGTTTTTCCAGTTTAAAATAAAAAAAACACAAAAGTCTCCAAACTTACAAAGCAAACTTATAAATGCATAGTGAAAACTAAAAAGGATGACACAGCAGTGATGAGGCTTTCATGCTAACATGCATTAGACACCTGTCATAACGGACAATTAAAAATTGCATGACGTTTCCTTGGGTTATTATTGGTGCTATTTCAAAACTATCAGCTTTGATAACAGAAAGAAAACAGTTGAGTTCTGCCAGGCTTTCAGTAAGTCACTTACATAGCACAGAAACATGACCATGATCCAAAGGTCCTCAAGTTTCTAATCATAATTAAATATCAAGGGCTTTAGCTAAAGTCCTCAACATTTAAATCACAGGGGAAAATACACTTACAAATGACCTGAGAAACTAGGGGTTGGGGGTGGAGGAGAAAAATAAAAAAGACAAGGAAACCATGAATTATTGTTAAGCAGCAAAAGCTCTTATTAAGAACCAGAAATTGATAATCTTCAGTTTTGGAAAAAACTGTGGAGGTGGGCTAAATTATTTTATACTAATTCCAGGTGTCTGAGAAAATAAACCACTAAAAAACAGTTTTCCTAAACTGGTATTTCAATTCTCTGTGGCTGGACACCAGTGAAAATATAAACACAAAATTTCAAAGATACTCAAAATACTTTCAATAATGTGAAGTCACTGCTGTTTAAATATGAAAATAAAAATCCAGCAAAATTTTTAGAGTATGTCAAAAGTATTTCAAATGACTTAAAAAAATCCAGATATGGGTAATTAATGCCCACTGAAATAAAAGGATGACTTCTGAGCCTGCAGACAACTCTTCTTTCTATTACTGAAGTCAGAAATTTGGGTGAATACAAAAATAAAAACTCACCGCTGATGAAAAACAGAAGTTTTGCAATTTGCACAATTAGAACTGTACCTGCTATACCCCTCTGAAAGTCAGTGAAAACACCACCACACACCAACAACTGACCAAAGAATTCTGATTTTAAAAGCACCTACTCACTTCCTGCATACTAGTGTAAGCAAAAGACAACGTGGTTTGTAACACACTCCTCTATTTTTACTGAACAGTTTCAGCTACAAACCAAAAGTGCATATATGGGATACAGAACTCAAAAACTAATGGTAAAAACATGTATGTTAAAGCAAGCTCTTGGGAACACACCACGTATTTTAAGAAAAATACTCAAACACCTGATTAAAGTAGTTGCAACATTTTATGTATGCTTTACCAGCTTATACTCCTGAGATCCCTGCTCAAATTTCAGCCACACAAGTAACATTTCTGGTACAGGAATTATTTACCTACATACCAATCAAAGTCATTTTTAGGTGTGTATTATTTTTTACAGCTAGTGGGCTCTTTGTTTTTCAAATTCTAACTTTTCAAATTTCTGGTTTTGTAACTTTGAGGATTTCTTTAAGTTCAAGATTAAAAAAGAAAAAAATTCTGCAGAAAAAGAGGAAAACAGTTACATGTAAAAGTGGAAACTCCTAATTAAAAGTAAATCCACTTGCCTGCTACCTTTACGGGGAGTCCTTTCCCTTAAAATAATGGCTAAACTCTCCTGACTTCTATTTTAAAGAGGTTTATAAAAATATAAAAAAGAAAAAAACCTAAAACTAAACAACTAATGAAAAAGAGAATTTCATCCGATGCTGTATCCCATTACACATCACAAAACAGGAACCATGTCAAAGTACTAAATACAAGTTACACATGGACTTTAAGACGCACCACGGACAATGATCATGACCAGGTAATCTTCTTCAGATTTGGCCAGTGCCTTGGCAGGGGAATCCAGGAACTGCTGGGAGAACTCACAGGGTGGAAAAGCATGAAGGACTCCGGTGTTTTCCTTGTCTTTGTTGCCCCCCACAGGGAGACTGATCACCCCAGCGGCCTGCTTTTGCTTTAAGTAGGACACGAGGTTCCTAAGTGGCCTCTGAGTAGAGGTGGCAGTGTCTGATGTGGCTGAGGAAGAAGAGGACCTGCTATCAGAACTTCCAGGCACAGCCAGAAGAATAGCATAACCATTGGGCCCTGCCACTTTGATGCGTCGCGTTACTTCATCCAACTTGGGCTGGTCCAAACGAAGACGCTGAGTGATCTTGAGCTGGGCCACTTTGCCTCCAGTTGAGCCCTCCACAAGAAGACTACTAGCCACCTGAAGGTCACCCTGCAACAGATGCATGTTGGAAGGAAAGTTGCTGTTCTTCAACAGAAGCATGCCCTGCCAGGCCAAACAGAGTTTGGGAGATGCTGCTGCTGCAGGGGCGGTCCCCCCATCCTGTTTCTGGGAAGGGGACTTCAGCTTCGATGAAGCAGTGCTGGTGCTGGATGCACTCCCATCAGGCCGATCTTCTTTTTTCAGAGGGCTTTTACCCTCCGTGGAAGCAGTTGTCCGGTGCTTCTTATCCCGTTCAGCTGATGCAGAGTTTTTACGGTCTCGCTTGTCACCCTGGCTCTTCTCCAAACTACCTCGTCGGTCTCTAATTGGAGAGGGCCTTTCCAAGAGAAGACGGGAAGACCGATCGTTGTCGCTGTTGTAGCGATCCCGGCTACTGCCCAATTCTGGACTGCGGTCAGGAGAAGGCGCGCAATGACGTTTCCGTGGACGGTCACTCTCTGGGGACCTATCCAGATGCCGACCCCCACTCTCTTCAGGCAGCCTTCGCTTCCTAGGTTGGTCTCTGCTGCTGGGCAGATCTCGATCACCTCTGTCCCGGTCCAAGGACCAGCCATCCCGCCTGCGATCCAGGCTATCCAGTGGCTCATAAGCAGGCACAGCAGTAGCTGCAGTCCGAGTGCTGCGTTCACGGACTGGGGGTGGGGGCGGAACCCAATCAGAGTCAGGATAAAGGTCCCTATCACGATCTCTGTACAGTAAGGGTGGTGTCCTATCCCGAGCACCCCTCAAAGGGTCGGGTGCCCGGTGTCCAAAAGTATCTGTCACCAGTTCATAATGAGTTAACGGCAGAGGCTGCAGATACTGCTGCTGGTAACGATGTTCTGTGTCTGCAAAGTCTACTCTAAGGCGACGATCTGGGCCACCAAGTGGGAAGCCCCTCATATGGGTCCAAGCAGCATGAGCTGCATCCAGGCTTTCGTACTGGATATATGCCCAACTATCACCTTTGCGGTAGTCAATGGTGCGTATGGTGCCAAATCGGTCAAACTCCCGTGCCAGGGCAGCAAGAGGCACCCAAGGACCCAGGCCACCTACCCAAAGGCGGGTGGTAGGTGTAGCTTTGCCATAGCCAATTTTGATAGGATTCCGAATTATAATTTTGCCAGACATCGCTAGTTTGGCCCGGTGAGACATATCTAGGTTTTCAAATTTGAGAAAGCCATAGGTACTGGTCTGGCCCCGAGAAGGCCTCTTGATGTCTACCTCTGTGATGACTCCGAAACGGTCAAAGGCCCTTCTTAGATCACTCTCTGTCACAGTGATGTCTAGGTTGCCCAAGAAAAGCGTCCGGTTAGCTCGCTGATCATCCTCGGGTGAGATCTCATCTACTTCTCTGAAAGGAGCAGCACCTGCTCCAGTTCCCACCCTTGGCTCAAGACTGTAGGCTGGGCGCACTCTCTCATAGAACGAGTAGTCTCGCTCTCTCTCCAGGTCTCGGGGCAGTGGTGGCGGAGGTGGAGGGGGCAGGCGGCCAAGGGCCAACTGCTGCAACCGGTAGTCTCTGTATCCCAAGGCTGCGCCACCAGGGGAAAGTGATCTCTGGCCTCCACCACCTCCTCCAGGGGGGTGCCGGTGACCACCTACAGAGGACCCGACCACACTCGCTGAAGGAGGATAGGAATCTTTGTCTAAAGGGGAGCGGCTGCGGCGCCGGCTCACATACACAGCTTCTATCTTCAGAGGCCGGTCATAGAGCACTAGGCGGCCTCTGGCATGCTTGGCCGCCCGCGCGTCCTCTGGCCGCCGGAAGTTCACAAAGGCTACTCGCTCATCCCCGCTGCCAGAACCCGAGAGATGACTGATTTTGACACTTACATCACCGAAGCGTTTAAACTCGTGAAACAATCCGTCCTCCACTGCTTCGTCACTCAGCTGGGACCCCAACTCGCTTATCTTCAGTGTCTTGTATTCCCCGCCATCTCCGCCGCCAGGAGCTGAAGAGGCGGCCCCAGAGGAACGTGACTCCCCGCCTCCACCCCGGGAGCTGCTGCGCGACTCGCCCCCGCCCGAGGAATTTTTGGTGCTTGGGGAGCTGTAACTATGCAAGCGGCTACTAGAGCTGCCCCCTCCGGTGTCGTACTCGCGGCTACCACCTCGGCTGCTAGACTTGTCCAGATGAAGGCTGCGCCGCGACCCGCCACCGCCGTCGGTCTTTCCGCTGCTGCTCCCATTGCTGCCACCAGAGCCCCCTAACTTCTTGCTCCGCTCCCCGCGGGAAGTCGAATCCTCACCACCACGGGAGCGTTTCGGCTTGACCGGAGAGCGCTCTTTTCCCTTCATGGTAGCGGGTCGTCGGAGATCTTCTCCGCGGAACTGACTAACCCGCCGCCCCGCGCTCGTTTCACACAGCGGAACCGCACGCCGCCATCTTGGACTCTGCCGCGGCAGAGGCTCCCGCCCCGCCGTCTTCATTGGTCAATTAGCTCCACACTTCTACAGTCTCATTGGGAAAACTATTTGTCTGTCTTTACATCTCCCCGCGCTCCGGGAAGGCGCCCGCCCGACCACTGTTATTGGGTTCCCAACACCCTAGTCAGAGTACCTCATTGGTTATATTCGTTGTCCATCTTAACGGTTCCTCGCGCCAGACTGTAGCCCCGCCCCTCGCACTCGACGGTCACCTGACCCAAAGTCTTGAGGCGTTGATTGGACAAAAAGTCTGCCCTCTAACGGTACTTCTTGCGGGACGAAAGCAGTGATCCCGCCTCCTCATAACTTTCATTGGTTTATGACCCCGTCCTTTAACCTACTATTTGGGAAGTCAGGCCATATGTTCTAGCTTTTTTTTTTTTTTTGAGAGGCCGGCTCACAGCGATCTCGCGAGAGAAAGAAAGCTCCCTCTTTCGACGCCTTTCTTCCAACTCCTCCGGCGGCTGAAAGAAGTTTAAATCTGATTGGATGTTGACGATGAAGTTGATAGGCCGAAATAACTGTCCATCACTCGCTTAAAGGCGTAGGCTCTTACAATGAGGAGGCTGCCTGAAGGTGAAAGAGTAGAATACGTGCTTGCTGTGCGACGTCACTTAGACGTCGCGAAATGGTGACCATGAAACAGTTCCGCCTCCCCGCGCTTTCGGCGTTTTCATTTCCAACATTTGTTCGCTCCCACGGCGTACTTGGTTGGGGTTTGGCCCTCGGACCTCAGAAGGCTAGAAAGGCTCCCTGCTTCCTACCTGTGTGGGACAAGGGCCTGGGCTTCTGTCTCTTCCCTCCCACTGTTGGGCCCACGAATCCCTCAGGAAACCGTCCCGGGACGCCCAGCGGACACCATCTTAGCCCAGTTGGCCTTTGCGTGAACAGCCTTTAAAAGCCCCACCCACCGTACGCAGGAAAGCGCTCTAGGGCCCGTGGCGCAGGCGGGGCCAGGTTCACAGTTCACGAAGCACGGGGTCACACTAACGCCCGGGGGCGGGGCGGGGCGTTAGCCGAGCGCTGACTCCTGGGGGTCCCCCGGCGGTGGAGCCGGGGCTTAGCCCAGGCTGGAAGCCGGCGCTGCTCGGTGCGTTTCATTCCCGCCCGAGTGTCCCGGGGTAACCTAGGAGACACTGAAGCTTCCAGTTTCGACTCCTAAAGGCGGGGTGGTGACTCTCGGGCCACGGCGGACGAGTCTGGGCTTCCTGATTTATGTTGCAAATTCCCGTAGATTTGGGGGTTTGTCGTCCGATAACATAGCTGCGTTTGATTTTTATATGTTAATAACCTTCCCTGGTAAATAATCGAGTGAAATGAATGTACTTTGCTTCCTGCTGATGTGTCGCGTTTTTTCCTGTGGCTTCTTATATGTCCCCCCACCTTCAGTTAGTTTATGCTAGAACCGGGTAGAACAGCCACCTTGCTATCTAAGTCCATCTCTTTTGACTCTTAAAATCATTGCTGCTGCTGCTAAGTCGCTTCAGTCTTGTCCGACTCGGTGCGACCCCATAGATGGCAGCCCACCAGGGTCCCCCGTCCCGGGGATTCTCCAGGCAAGAACACTGGAGTGGGTTGCCATTTCCTTCTCCAATTAAAATCATTAGACGCTTTAAAACCCAACTTGCTTTTATAGACCTTCATTGTGTCGGACAGTAAAGCACTTGTGCGGGGTGCCAGTGATACCGAGTTGAGAACAGGTACAGTTTCTATCCGGTAAAGGGAGGTAGTGCTGAGTTCATTACAGGGCTTTTATGCATTCCTCGCCGTGTCCTCTGGGCGGAAGAAAGGGGATTTTTGTATTGATCCTCGGTTCAACTGCATCTCTCAAGATTCTATCTGTAGGAGACAATGTGAGATGTTTTTAAACATGACATCTTTTGAGGTAACTAGGTCCCCCAAACTAAAACCTAAACTTTGAAACTTTTAGAGACTGAAAACTGTTTAGCCCTGCCTTTTTAAGTAATTTTGAAGAAGGTGAAGATTTGAGCCTTTTATCTGGAGTAGACCATAAAAGCTTGAATGAAGCCAAATATGCAAAAGCATTTCTATAATATTATAATGTGTGGACATAATCATTGTATTAAAACTGTTAAATAACTTCATAAGGCATAATATGGTGTGTATAATATGCTACCATTTGTAGCCTTAAAAAATGATATGCCTGTTTATGTGTTTGTACGTTTTATGTATATATATATTCATAGAAACAATTGAGACTACTTAGAAGGTTACTGAGATCATGCTGAGGAGAGGGGAGTTGAGGGTCTGGGTGTGAGGACTCAAATTTTCATTATATAGCTTTCAGTTCAGTTAAGTCGCTCAGTCGTGTCTGACTCTTTGCGACCCCATGAACCGCAGCACGCCAGGCCTCCCTGTCTATCACCAACTCCCAGAGTCCACCCAAACCCATGTCCATCGAGTCGGTGATGCCATCCAACCATCTCATCCTCTGTCATCCCCTTCTTCTCCTGCCCTCAATCTTTCCCAGCATCAGGGTCTTTTCAAATGAGTCAGCTCTTCGCATCAGGTGGCCAAAGTATATATATATATATATAGTTTTATGTGTTATTAATACTTGTTTTACCATGTGCATGATATTGCTATTTGTGTTTTTCAAAATAAAGCAATTATTTTTAGCTTTCCTTAAAAAACTTTTTATGGAATAACTAAAAAATGTACAAAAGTACAATGCTTTAAAGAACTGTCTTGTGCGCAATATTTCAGCCATTTTCAGATCATGTCAGTCTTGTTTCATCTACATTGTCCTCTTATTCTTCCCCCTCTTCATTATTTTGTTCCAAGCTTATTGGCCCCAGAAATGGAATCAACCATTTCTCCAAGTAATTCTGGTTCCTTTAGTGGGAAATAATACTTAAAATTCTCGATACTAGGGAATTAAAAAAAAAAAAAACATTATTCAAAAGAAAAAAAGACTTTACATAGGGGATTTTCATCTGTTTCAAGGTTATATTAATAGAACACAGCACAAAATTGAAGTTAAGTCATTATCTGATTAAACATTATCTGTTATAGCTAACCTAGAAAAGATTGAAGGCAGGAGGGGAAGGGGACCACAGGATGAGATAGTTGGAGGGCATCATTGACTCAATGGACATGAGTTTGAGCAAAATCCTGGAGTTGGTGAAGGACAGGGAAGCCTGGTGTGCTGCAGTCCATGGGGTCGCATGTGGGACACGACTGAACAACTGAGTGAACAAAAACAGCAAGAGCTAACCTAAATAAATCAGTCCCCAGGGTGACTGTTTTTGGCCTAAATTGACCTGCTTAGGTGACTCACTGATTTAAAAAAAAAAGTAAAAATAATGACCAAATAAGTATAGTATCTCAAATCTCCTCATAGGGACTGAAGGAGCACAAGAATTGAGGGAGAGAATTCAGAGTATGACAGTGCCTGAGGCTCTGCGAGGCTTAGTGGCTTGCTATTTGAAACAGCAAGGAAATTTGAAGCTATTGCCCACAAGTGGCTGTGGTAGGAAGGTTTATCTGGGGTGGGGGAAGGGGGGCGCCAGAGGGGAGGTGATAGCCTGTCTGATAGCAGGAGGACTGGTACATTTAATGGATAGGTATGAAAAGGCCTATCCTTGGAGAAGGAAATGGCAGCCCACTCCAATATTCTTGCCTGGAGAATCCCAAGGACAGAGGAGCCTGGTGGGCTATAGTCCACAGGGTCGCAGAGTCGGACACGACTGAGTGAATTGAATATATATATATATATATATGAAAAGGCCTGGATTCCATTATCAATAACTGGGCCAAAATACTGCCTCTGTGTGTGTGTGTGTGTGTGTGTGTGTGTGTATGACAGAACTGAATAATGACATGATATGTTGATCCAAGCTGTAGTTAAAATAAGTGATTTATTTTGTTTTCATTTCCCTTGTGTTCTTTAAAGTATGAAGTGGCTTAGTGAGTTTATATCAGCCTGTGTTCACACGTGTGCTTTTGAGAGGGCTGAGAGAGGATAAAAGTGACCCACAGTTTAGAGGGGCAAGACTTTGAACACTTTTTCTATTGTTGGTGATGGAGTTGTTGAGGTCCAGTCCAGGCTTTCATCTGGTCTCCTTGTGGTCTATGGCCAGATTTGTGAGGATAACTGACCTGGGTGAGGAGGATCTTTCAGCGGTCATGAAAACAGTTAAGCTACCAACAGATTCCCTGAGCGTCATAGCAGCAGGATGATCTCTTCTTTTAGTGCCTTGTCAAAAACCAAAAAACAGTGTTGAAGAAAAGGCGCCATTGCCCATTGTGGCTTCAGTGTTGACCCCTTGGAGCTGTACAACTCAAAGCCCCTACGGATGCATCCAGCAGGAGAGTGGTTGCAACTAGCTGTCTAAATAAAGTGCTTTCTCCATCTCCTTTAGAATCGGTTTTAGATTAAAAAGGAAAAGCAAAAATGAAAGTTACATTCATGGGAGAAAGCTGTGCAATTAAAAGGTATCACTATGTTTTCTATCAAATGTGTTCTTTCCACCCTCTTCCTTCCTAGGTTTTATTGTTTGTGTATCCTCAGTACACACAGAGACAATTATGACTGCAATATGAAATTTATCTTGGGAGCTGAGAGCCCTTTGATTTCCTGGCAGATGCAAAGAGGCCTGAAGCTAGAAATTTTTTAAAAAATTTCCCACTCACAGTCGTGAATTAAATTTTTCTGTTTCATTTTCTTTCATAAAATGAGTGGCCTGACAGTAAAATTTGTTTTGTCTACTCTGCAGAAAAAGTGTGTGTTTTACCTATAGACATATATGAAATCCCTAAAATAGCAAATAATCATTTCGGACCAGTTTGCACTATAAAGTCACTTGTTTGTGGTTTGTATGGTTTTTTAAAAACAGCTTTATTAAGATATAAGTTACATACCATAAAGTTCACCCATTTAAAGCATACAATTCAATGGGTTTTAGTATACTTAAGCTATGCATGTGGTTCACCCCTTAACACTGTTACAGAAAGACTCGGCTATAATTTCTCCTACATGACTAAGCCCTAATATAATTATCTGTTTCATTTATTTAGACATTTTATAGGGCAGTGGCTAAGAGCATGAACTTTGGAACCAGCCAGCCTGGATTAAATGCCAGCTCTGCTGTAGGTCTCAAAAGAATTACTATTAATTTCTCTGGGCCTTTATTTTCTCATCTATAAGATAAGAATAATCATAAAACCTTTTTACCAGGAGGAATAAATGGGTTAAAACAAACAGTTTGACCCTCAGTATCCACGGGTTCTGTGTCCTTGGATTCAACCAACTCATCTGACTGTATAAAGAGCTTAGAAGAGTGCCTGGCACACAGTAAGAATGCATTGCTGTTAACAAGCATAATTTCTCTTTGAACTTTAGTATATAGAATTGGATTTATCATAATCCTCAGTTCCTGAGACATAACCATTAATGGTCCATTCATGGGTCTTTAAACTTTTAATTTACTTATCAAAACATAGTACATACCCATGAACCTATCACTCAATCCAAGAAATAGAAAGTTACCAGTATTTTATGTCTACCTAAATGTTCCTCCCTTATCCATTGCCTACCCTCATAGCTAGCTACTATCCTGAATCTGGTATTTAACTATCCCTTGTTTTGAGAACTTAAAAAAAAATTTTTTAAGGAATTTTAAAGTCCCTATCATGAAGTTTGGGGAAAATATATATATAAGTGGATTTTTAAAAATTCCTTAATATATGTGTATGAGTGTGCAGTCATGCACATGCACACATATCACCTTAAAAGTATATTATTTTAGTTTCCTTTGTTTGTAACTTTATACCAATTTGTATCTGTACTCTTCCTGAGGCTTGCATTTTTCATTCATAATGTTACTATGACTCTTCCATGTTATTAGAAAACTTTCAAGGAATGGATTATTGTCTTCTATTTTGATGCCCTGCAATCCTTATGCTACCACATGGTATATCACATTAATAATATGGCTTTTCAAATTCCAGCCA